TAGATAATATATATTTATATCTATAAATTATATATAAAATATAAAATTATATATATATATATAAAATACGGGTCAATGTCCAGTTTTAAAAAAATACCCCGAACTGCACGGCCACGAAATCACTTCTAAACCCCAATTTCAAAGTTCTACATCCATCCCTACCCCGCCAGGGCAAAACCCAGCAGCAACCCAGCCGCAAAGCCCCTCGAGCCCGACTTACCACGCTGGAGCAAGGCCGAGGCTGGAGGAGCGAATGCAGAGCTTGGATTTGGTTCCCTTTTATACATTTATCTGCCCCAGCCTGCGATGCTTTCAAGTGCTTCTCATCGCATCCCAAACTCTCCCCGCACGTCATCCCAGCAGCGGCTGGGGTTGTTTTCCTGCTCCGGGATCCTTACTCAGCTCCCGGCTGCCACAAGGATGACTTCGCGCCGCTCTCGCCTTTCATCTCCAGACTTCCCGGCTCAATTACAAACGGGAGCCAGGGTGGCGAAATCTGGACTTGTAGCAGGAAAAGGAAGGAAGGATATTGAGAGCTGAATTAATGGATGCTCGCAATCCTAATTTGGGATGAATGGACAAATGTCAATATGTGAAACCTGCAATGACTCTGGAGAAAGAATTCCAATTATTTTTCAAAATTAAAATCCCCGGAAATCATTTAGTGTTTGGGTCTATTTCAAAATCGCATTTTTAGGCCAGAATATTTATATTATTTTCATTTATATTTTTAAAAGTTATTATGAAGTAATTCGACCCAACTTCGACAAACTCCGAAGTTGTAGAAAGAAATGGGGATCCTTTTCCTTGCAAGACTGGAAATACATTTGAATAAAACCAGACATCAATGACTTAAATGAACCTTAGAGCAGATAGAAACCATCAAATCTAAATCATTTCAGGCAGAAATAACCATATTTGAAATCTCCAGGTTTATTTTATGGTATTTGAAATCTCCGGGCGCGTTTTATGAAATCCGCTCACGAACTGAATTTCCTGCACAGCCAGCCCAAAGCAAGGCGGTTTTCTCTGGCTCCAAAAATATCTGTTCGGTGCTTGTTTTCCCTTGGATCAGAAAACGATTCGCTCTGGGGTTCCTGACAAGGACAAATATTTAAAAAACAGGGATTTATCTCTATAACGACCTCAGTTTTCCCGAGAAACCCCCCAAATTCCAAATACAATTTAATGTAATTTCGTCTTCATATTGTTGAGGTGTTTAATTCGCCCTAATGAAGGTGAATAATGCTGGGGTGACCTTCACCTCCAAACCCTGTTTTGCTGTTTACTCCCATCCCAAGGGAGGATAATGACAGGCAGCACGTCAGGAGTTCTGGGCCTTTTTCTAAATTTGAAATATCAAAGCTTTCATTAAGACTTATTAAATATTTTCGGGCACAAAGAGATTTATTATTTCAATATTAACAGCACTTTGCTACGCCCCGCTGTTATGTAACACCTGCTCCAAAAACGTGGATTGGGGTGTCCTGTTTCCTGGCTTTATTAAAATTGTAATTTATAGCTTCGGAATTGGGTCTCGGGGAGATTTTTTCCCCCCTCTAAAAATACCTCCTGGACGTGCCATTTGAATGCTTGCAGGCCAATTTTCTGGCTGAATCAATATTGTCCGGCTGAATCAATAACATCCCCAGGCTCGGCAGCTCCAAATCAAAGACCCGCTCCTTCCCCCTTGGAAATCACAGGAAATGTTGTCAGGGATGCTCCACGTGTCATTAGGAGTGATGAAATTCATAAAAAACACAGGCTGTGCGTTCCTTCCACGACTATTCCAGGGGGGAAAAAGCACAACCCAGCACATTCAGCCTCCAGAGCTGCCGCGTTCGGAATTCCGCGGGGCTTTGCTGATCCCGAGGAGTCGCCGCTGTCCACAAAAGCGCAAATTCAGCGCGATGATGGCGAGGCTTAATTGCGCTGAGTCGTTTTGGGATGAAAGGGCCGTGGCGGGCGGAGCCTCCCAGTGACGGTGCTGGACCCTGGGGAGCATCGGGGTATCGATGAGGGGAGGAACAGGGGCCGGGAATTGGGGCTGAGCCGGGCGCGGGTGGGGTGCGCGGGGCGGGAGCGGCAGCTCCATAAAAGCCCCGCATCCCTGCGGAGAAACCATTCCCTGCTCCGGCCTTCTCCTCCTTGCAGCCCAGGGTAAGTGGCAGCAGATTTGGGAAATCCCAGTGGTATTCCCCCTCCTTTTTATTCTTTTTTTTTTTTTTTTTTTTTTTTTCTTTCTAATCTACAAATGTTGCAGCCAAGAATTGAGGTTGTGACTTAGAGGTTATCCCCGTGCAAAACAATCTTTCCTCCCTGGATTTTGAATGTCTGAGTGCTTGAAACAGCCTCAGTCCTGCACGGATCCCCTTTTCCCTTCACGTCTTTGCCCCAGCGCAGCTCTGAGGGTTTTCCAGCCCTGCTTTGCCTCAGGGTCGCGATTCACAGCCCCATTTTCAGCGGCGCTGTGCGGGAAGGCTCAGGATGGAGGATTGGGGGGAAGAAGTGGCCCTGAATTCGGGATGGAGCGATGGATGAGGGCATCGGGCAGTGGCGTGATGCCTCTCCCTTCCCTGCAGCGCATATTCGGGGTTTGCTCACTGTCGGGACTCACCTCATGGGCTTTTCCTGCCTTGCAGCCCTTCCTCGGCTCCCTCCAGCCCCAAGATGACTTTCTGCTACCAGCGGCAGTGTGAGGATTCCTGCTACTCCCCCTGCAGCTACGGGACCGTCTTCAGCTCCCGCAGCTACGACTGCGGCAGCCCCTGTGGCTACCAGGGCTACTACGGGAGGCTCTGTGGCTACCGCGACTACTGCCCGACCTTCAGCCCCCGCTACTGCTCCCCCTACTCCTCGCGCTACTTCCAGAGATACTCCTACGGCAGCTGCTACCCCTGCTACCAGTGCTGAGCGCAGCCCGGCCGGGAGAGACCCCAAAACCCGCCCGGACGCCTCCGGGATGGATTTTGCTCCCGGGTGGATTTTGCTCCGGCTCAGCTGCGGGTCCCTGAGGCTTTGGGATCCCTTCCATGCCTGCTGTAACTCTGATTAATCGGCTTTTTTGGCTGTTTCCTCTCAGTCTTTCGGGATGAGGTTTTTGTTTGTGCCGAGGAGCGGGAGTCTCGTCTGGCTGTGCTGACAGCTCCGCTCCTCTCCAACACCAGCTTTACTCCCCAAACCTCCAAAACGCTTCCCCCCCACTTTTTACCCTCTGCTGTGTCTCTCAGCCCTCCCTGGGTTTGGTGGTGTAAAGGAAACCTGGGTTTAATATTTATTTTATAGCTCTTTCCCATCTCTGTTTAGTGAAACCTGGAGCGTGCCTGACCTAGGGATGAATTTTTGACTTAACTGCCTTTGAAACTGTGCCAAAAAAATCCCAAAATCATCCAATCCGCTCCGTTTCGTTGGGCTGGAAACAAGTGGAAAAGTCTGAAAACAGAAAAGTTGTACCAATGAAACCGGGGGATTTCCTGCGCTTAAATCCCTGAATTCTTTCTGCTCTCTGTGCTATTTTAGATTGTGATTGTGAGCTTTACTCCTATTAAAAACGTTGTAGCATCATGAAATGGCCCTGGATTGCTTTTTTTTCTGGTTTTCTGCTTTTCCCGGACACAGATTTTTGTCAGCAGCTCGATGTTTTACGGTGTCACACAGCTAGACCCGCACACGCATTGTGAAAACCAATAGCGACGCAGTAGAACCTCAGAAAATGAGTTCCAAATCCCGAATTTCCTAGGAAATATTTGGAAATACTCCTTTAAATTTGTTTTCGCGTCCCAGCGGGTGTGCAGGCATTAGACACAACAGCAGTTGTAAATGACTGAGGCATGGACCAGCTGGTAATTAATTAAATTTTGGGGGATAACACCAGAAATTGAGGGGAAATCCCCCTTTTCTGACGTGCTTTTGTGCTGGCCCTGCCTGTGATTTTCCCATCTTTCCGGATGGAGAGACCCGATCTGTTACACAACAGAAAAATTCAATTTTCAGAGCGGAAAATGTCACTTTCTAGGGCAAAAAATGTCACTTTCCCTCCGCTCCAGGCTCTGTTGGAATGACAGTGGAAGTGTGAAGTTCCCAGATTTTCCACCGCGTCCTGGGGAGGAGGAGCGGCTCAAATTATTCATCACCGAGGTGTCTCGGAGTCTGGGCACAAAAGAGCTTGGAAAGCTCAATTAAACCCTCGAACCGTCATTGTGAGCGTAATTGCCGCCCTTTGAACAGGCAGAGGCAATCCCGGCATCCCTGGATCCCAAAATTTGGGGTGGGGAGGGACCTCTGGAGACCTCTGCGGGCACAGTCCTGCCAAGGGAACAGAGCTTGAGTGGAAGGTTTGAAAGGTATAAAATAAATTCTGACTAAAGCAAACATCGAACTGCCTCAACTCGTACCTTTGGAGTGACTCCTTTTCAATAATGAAGCAGCTGAGAAGAGAATTGTGCTTTAAATAGATTAATAACAGCTTATAAATACATAAAACAGTTACGGGCGTCTGCGAGGTGCTTTGAACTGCCAAAATAATCGACTGTGGGGAAAAGTGAAGACATTGTAACTTTTTGCTGAAGGAACACAAAGGAATAAATAAATTAATTGATACTTTTCCCTTCAAGCCTGTCCCTTGGAATAGGGATAACTCATTTTCATCCTTTGTGTGCTCTCAAAAAACACAGACCCTGTTCATTAACCTGCCATTGGTGGATGATAAATAGTGGGCCTTGAGCTTCATCTGGGGAAGAATTTCTTAGTGGGAAGGGTGGTCAGGACTGGAAGGGGCTGCCCAGGGAGGTTTGGAGTCCCCACCCCTGGAATTGCTCAAGGAACAAGTTAAAATGGGACTCGGAGCCCTGGGATGGGTGATCAGTCAAAAACTGGATTAACTCGGAGGTTTTTAAAACCGGAATGATTCTGGGATCCCGTGGAGATATCCCAGCTCAACACGGACAATCAGAGGAGCAAACCCATAAAAACCAAGCAAAATCCAAGCGATTGCAGCAATGCAGATTCTTTATTGTGGATGAAAAAAGCCACAGGCGGTGTCAGCGAGAGACAAACCAGCAGCAAGGCGTTGGAAACACGAAAATCCCAAGGCAGCAGCGAGGCCCAGCCCAGGGCTGCAGCGCAGAGGCTGCCCCTGCCCAGGGCGAGTTGGGGGCTCGGAGCTGGGCAGAGCAGGGCAGAGCATCAGCCCGGGCTTTAGCAGGGCCCACAGGAGCCCCCCAGGGACCTGGAACCGCGGCCACAGATCCCAGAGCCCCCGAAACCCCCAAAACCTCCGTAGCCCCCAAAGCCCCCATAGCCCCCGAGGGCCCCGGAGCCCCCACGGCTCCCAAAGGCGCCCCCGAAGCCGCCTCCGACGTAGGGAGCTCCGGCCGAGCCCACGAGGCTCTGCTGCGGGAAGGAGCTGAGGATGGGCCCGGGGAAGGTGACCACCGAGGCCGGGGGCTGGATGACCACCGTGGAGTCGGGGCACTGCCGCACGCAGGGCTCGTTGGTGGCGTCAGCCAGAGGGGCCGGGGTGGCCACCCCGCAGCTGGGGACGCACAGGCTGGAGCAGGACATCCTTTGGCTTGGCTGGCAGAGCTGCAAGACAAGGCACAGCCACGGCTCACACCAAGGACTCTCCCAAAGCCCCGCTGCTCTCGCCCACCCGCACCCCGTGGCCCGGGACTCGCTCGGGATCACCCCAGGCCTTCCCAGCGAAGCCCTGGCACGGCTGGCACGGCTCCTGCAATGCCCGGCTGCCCTCACCACCCCCGGCTCTTGCCTGCCCGTGGCAATGAAGGAAAACTCCCTCACCCAAGCGCCAGGCTCCCGAGGCCTGGAGCCCGCGGGTGGAACCCCGAGCCCCCCAAGCCTGCCCTGGCACAGCCGCGGCAGCGCGGGCACAGAGACCCCTCGGGAAATGCTCGGCAAAGGTTCCCTGGGCAAGGCGAGAGGAGCAAGGGAGGACGCAGGGAAGGCTCGGACTCACCACAGCGATCAATGAGCAGAGTCAAGTGGGGAGAGCTGGATGGAGCCCTGTGGAGCCCTCGGACCTTTTATACACCCCAGAGTGCCTGGGGCACCGTCCAGGGGGTGGGGGCAAACACGAATAATTAGGAATTCAAGCAGACAAGTAAAATGACACAGCTAATGATGGGGGGTAGTTCTTTGTCATCCCATTTTTGCAGATATTGGTGTTAAAACGTGTCCAGACCGATGAGAGGAGCAGTCATGGCTCATCATTACATGACAGCCAGGGTGCTGCTGGAGCTCAACTCACAGACCCAATAAACCCTGCTCTGTCCCTAATCCCTCATCTTGCTGACAAAGAATCCCAAGCCTCATTTGGGACATGGCTGTGCCCAGCCCCGCCAGTCTGAGCCCTGGCCTGGCCAAGCCCGTGAGCCAGCCGTGCCCAGCTGGGCCTGTCCTGGGCCAGGGCCAGGGCCAGCCTGGCTCTGGGGGACTCGGCCAACAGCCCCTGGGCAGCGCTCATGGGGAGACACGGGGCGGCAGGAGCCTCAGGGACCAGGCCCCACTGTTGCCCTTCGGCCCCTGCCGTGCTGTCCCCTCTGTCACAGCACTCCCAGACTCTGTCCCGCCGTTCTCATCCTTCCCTGGGGTCTGGGGGCTGCCCACCATGGGCTCTGCCTCATCTGCTCTTTGTGGGACCATCAGGGGAAACTGGGACGTGGAAACGCCAATGTCCTGCAGAACCTCAGAGCGGCAATTCACAGACGTGTCCGGGGACTCCAAAACCTCACAATGAACATTTCTGCTGGCACTGGCTGTGGGTGGGATTAGGGAGTCACCCCAAGAGTTGCTTCTCCTTTTCCCAAGCTGCCGCTGCCTCTGTTTACCAGCCCGTAAAAGGGATGTAATGACTGGGGTGAGGGCTGGGGCAGCGCTTCCAAGCTGCTGCAAGATGCCGGGAATTGTTCTCTGTAAGCAAAGTGAGGGATTAGGGACAGAGCAGGGTTTATTGGGGCTGTGAGCTGAGCTCCAGCAGCACCGCGCCTGTCACGTAATGATGGGCCACGGCTGTCCCTGCAAGCGCTTCTCTCTTGTCCACTCATGTTCACACCAATGTCCACAATGGGGGGATGACAGAATTTGTCCGCGTCCCCTCAATTTATGAAGTTTCTCAGCGTGAATTGGTAATTACTGGAGGGGGGGTCTGCCCGCACCCCCTTTCCTGAAGCCCCAGGCTCTCTGGGGTGTATAAAAGGCCTGAGCTCCTTGCACAGCTCCATCCACACTCCTGCACTTGACTCCTCTCATCACCCGGGTAAGTGCAGCTCTCCGAAGGCTCTTGGGGCTCTCTCTCAGCACAACTCCTCCCTCACACCTTTGCCCCTATCCCGGGTGTTTTCCAGAAGCCTTTTCCAGTCTCCAGGATGTCCTGCGGTATCCCCAGCTGTGGCGTGGCCACCCCGGCCCCTCTGGCTGGCGCCACCAACGAGCCCTGCGTGCGGCAGTGCCCCGACTCCACGGTGGTCATCCAGCCCCCGGCCTCGGTGGTCACCTTCCCCGGGCCCATCCTCAGCTCCTTCCCGCAGCAGAGCCTCGTGGGCTCGGCCGGAGCTCCCTACGTCGGAGGCGGCTTCGGGGGTGCCTTCGGACGCCGTGGGGGCTCTGGCGGCTCTGGGGGCTTTGGGGGATTGGGAGGTTTTGGAGGATTCGGAGGTTTTGGGGGCAGCTGCGGCGGCTCCAGAGGCTGCGGGCCCTGCTAGGCCCCAGCCCGAGCCCTGCCCCAGAGCCGGGAGAGCTCCAGGAGCGCCCCCGGCCCATCCCCGCTCGCCAAGGCCCGGCTGAAGGACAGACCGACAGACGTGCCCCGGCCGCGCCCCGCCGCCTTCCTGCCGCGCTCGGAGCCCCGCAGCGATCGCTGCCCGCTCCCGGCACGGCCCCAGCTCGGCTCCTGCTCTGCCCGCGGCCGGGACCCGCGGGGAGCCCCCGGCCCGGGCCCCGCTCCGCCGCGGAACCCCCCTGTCCCCGCACGGCAATAAAAGCTGGCTCGCATTGCAAGGCTCACAGGTCTCGGCTGCTCTTTGCTCGGCACCCCCTGCCCGGCCCGGGCCGCTGTCCAGCAGGCTCCGGCCGGCCCCGCTCGGACACGGCGCAGGAGAAGCCCCGGCACTGCCCGGGCTCGTCCCGCAGCCCTGGGGCAGCCCGGCCCCGCAGCAGAGTCCCCCCGAGCCGGAGCCTGCCCAGCCCCTGCGCCGGGGCCTGTCCGTGTCCCAGCCCGGCTCCTGCCCGCTCCGGGCTCCTCTCGGCAGCCCCACAGCAGCCCCGGGCCCCACCGCCAGCCCCCTGCCCGTGGGACACCGCCCGAGGCCCGTGGAGCCCCGGGGCCCTGGGCACTGCCCGGGGGCCGAGCGGAGCCCCCCGAGGGAGCCGAACCCGCTCGGGGCTCTCGGGAGGCCCCGGCTCGGCTGGGAGAGCGAGAACAGCCCCGGCCCCGCTCCCGCTGCCCCCTCATCCCCTCCCACATCCCTGCCCCGCCGCCGCCTCCCGCTCCCGCTCCTGCCGCCCGTTCCCCCGCGGCTCCTCGCAGCGCTGCCGGCCCCGCCGCGCCCCCGCTGCGGCTGCGGGAGCCCCTCCGGGCACCCCCGGCCTGCCCACCCCTCGCCAGGGACACGGCTCTGCCCAGAGCAGCAGCACAGCTTCCCACAGCCCCGGGCTCGGGGACACACCGCGGGGCCTTTGCTGCCCCTGCTCATGCTGAATTGCATCGCCAACATTAAAATATTATTTATTAGATTGGTAATATTGGATACATCAGACCTATTACAGTAAGATGGACGGAACATGAAATAATATTGTCTAAAGCTGATCTATGTGAACTTAAAACAAATATGGAAGCCCAGACCCAGGGAGCTTTTGGCATTTATTGACCTGAGAAAGAAATGTTCCGACAGATCAATAGACAAAGGAAGGGACCTGGTGGAGGTGGAACTCCAAGCTCCTGCTCCATGAGCTCCGTGGGACTGAATCCTGGGGTCGTTCCATGGCGTGGAGAGGAGACGGGGCAAGATCTGCTCGGGTCTGTCTCCTCCCTTCCCAGCTGCCACCACCCCAAGGCGGACAGGCCAGAGCACCTGGGACATGAAGCGCTCATCCTGCATTTCCCTGCATCTCCCCATGTGCCTGAGCAACCCCAGCCCAGTGTGGGAGAGGTTCTACAGCTACTGCTGCGAGCCAGGGAGAAGTTTGAGAAGAGGATCCATGTTCAACCCAAAGGAATTTCCCACAGAGGTCTTGGACAAAGAAACCAAGAAGGAAAGAGGGAGAAATAAGAGAAACCTGCAGTTGCCTGTTCCAATGAGATCTTTGTTCATCTTTCCCAACCAATGAGTAAATGTATAAGTTTTGTAAGAATGTATAGAAAGCATGCATGCTAGAATAAAACCAGCTTGGAAGCCTTCTGAAAATGGAGTGTGTTGCTCGGTGTTGTGACCGTCTCAACTCCGACAGCCCAGTCCCAGAGGTGGTGTCAGCTGTGCCGCTTTGGCTGAGCATTGGGAAGAGTTTCTGCCAGAGCCGTGTGGTCCTTTCCCATCGCCAGCGAGGGCTTTGGGGATGTCCCGCGGCTGCTGCTGCTGGGAGAGCACGGGGAGCTGGGGGGACGTGCTGCCCAGAGCCAGCGGGCTCTGACATGCCCAGCTGGGACACACGGAGCCAGCTGTGCCCGGGCTCCGGGGCACTGCCCAGGGCGATTGCAGAGCCCAGCAGGCAGCTGGGAGATCGGGGCCACGGGAAAAGGGAGGATGAAGGAAAACCAGGAGTCAACATTGCAATGCAAGAGAGCTTTTATTGCAGGGGGAGGGCAGGAGGGGCTGGGCACGAGAGCAGGGCCGTGGCCACGGGCTTGCCGTGGGCTGGCCCTGGGCACAGCCGGGCGAGCAGGAGCAGCAGCCCCGGGCGAGTCTCTAGGAGCGGGGCTGCAGGAGCCCCGTGGGGATGCTCAGCAAGGGCAGGGACGAGGCAGAGCTGGTTCCCAAGGTGGCACGAGGCTCCCGAGGTGCGGAGCCCGGCCGTGCCCAAGGGGTTTTGGTCTGCAGAGCGTCGGGTCGGGATGTGCCGGGGTTTCTCCTGGAGCTCTTCTGGGTGGGAGGCCACACTCGGGCTGCCGCTTAGCAGGGCCAGCAGTTGCCATTGAGGTAGCGGTGGCCACTGCTCCAGCCGCCGTAGCCACAGCTGCCGTAGCCCCCATAGCCCCCATAGCCCCCATAGCCTCCACAGCCCCAACCCCCGTAGAGCCCACGGCCTCCATAGCCCCAGCCTCCGTAGCCACCACGGCCTCCAAAGCCCCAGCCTCCGTAACCTCCGTAGCCCCCAAGGGCCCCGTAGCTGGCACGGCTCCCAAAGGCGCCCCCGGAGCCGGCTCCCACGTAGGGAGCTCCGGCCGAGCCCACGGCGCTCTGCTGCGGGAAGGAGCTGAGGATGGGCCCGGGGAAGGTGACCACCGAGGCCGGGGGCTGGATGACCACCGTGGAGTCGGGGCACTGCCGCACGCAGGGCTCGTTGCAGCTGTCAGCCAGAGGGGCCGGGGTGGCCACCCCGCAGCTGGGGACGCACAGGCTGGAGCAGGACATCCTTTGGCTCGGCTGGCAGAGCTGCAAGACAAGGCACAGCAACGGCTCACGTCCCTTGCTGCCCTCACCATCCCTGAGCCTTGCGTGCCCATGGCAATGGAGAAGACTTGGACATCCGAGGGAGCAAAGTCCTCAAGCTTCCAAGAGACGTGAGTTCCCTCGTACAGCCCCAACGATCCCAGCTCTGCACGGGCAGAGCAAGAGGAGCACACAGCCAAAGGTTCCCCCAGAAAGCCCCAAAGTTTCCTTGAGAACCCCATGGATGGAGAAAGAAAGAGGAGCGAAGGCTTGGACTTACCAAGTTGACAAGGCGAGTCAAGCAGTGGAAGGTGAATGGAGCTCTGTGGAACCTTTGGGCCTTTTATACACCTCCCAAAGGGCCTGGGGCATCAGGAAAGGGAGCGGTGGCAAAAAAAAAAATTCCAGGTAATTAGGAATTCAAGCTGACAAGCTTCATCAAAGAGATAATGACGAAATACAATTATAGACATCAACATGGGGAGATTGATGTGGACACGTGCCCTGGACTGATGGGAGGAACAGCCGTGGCCCATCATTACGTGACAGCCAGGGTGCTGCTGGAGCTCAGCTCACAGCCCCAATAAACCCTGCTCTGTCCCTAATCCCTGACCTTGCTGACAAAGAATCCCGAGCATCCTTTGGGACATGGCTGTGCCCAGCCCCACCAGCCTGAGCCCCGGCCCGGTCGTGCCCGTGAGCCAGCCGTGCCCAGCTGGGCCTGTCCTGGGCCAGGGCCAGGGCCAGCCCGGCTCTGGGGGACTTGGCCAACAGCCCCTGGGCAGCGCTCGGGGCCAGCTGGGCAGTGCAGCCCGGCCAGGAGGGCTCGGCCAGGACCCGCCGGGCAGACACGGGGCGGGAGGAGCCGCAGGGACCCGGCCCCACCGCTGCCCTTCGGCCCCTGCCGTGCTGTCCCCTCTGTCACGGCTCTCCCGGGCTCTGTCCCACCGCTCTCCCCCTTCCCTGGGGGTCTGGGGGCTGCCCACCATGGGCTCTGCCTCCTCAGCTCTTTGTGGGACCATCAGGGGAAACTGGGACATGGAAACCCCAATGTCCTGCAGAACCTCAGAGTGGCAATTCACAGACGTGTCCGGGGACCCCAAAACCTCACAATGAACATTTCTGCTGGCTCTGGATGTCGGTGGGATTTGGGACATGGGATGTCTCTGGATGTTCCTGGAAGCTGGGAAATTCCCCAGCCCCAGGGCCGGGGCCTCTCCGTGTCCCAGCCCGGCTCCTGCCCGCCCCGGGCTCCTCTCGGCAGCCCCACAGCAGCCCCGGGCCCCACCGCCAGCCCCCTGCCCGTGGGACACCGCCCGAGGGCCGTGGAGCCCCGGGGCCCCGGGCACTGCCCGGGGGCCGAGCGGAGCCCCCCGAGGGAGCCGAACCCGCTCGGGGCTCTCGGGAGGCCCCGGCTCGGCTGGGAGAGCGAGAACAGCCCCGGCCCCGCTCCCGCTGCCCCCTCATCCCCTCCCACATCCCTGCCCCGCCGCCGCCTCCCGCTCCCGCTCCTGCCGCCCGTTCCCCGCGGCTCCTCGCAGCGCTGCCGGCCCCGCCGCGCCCCCGCTGCGGCTGCGGGAGCCCCTCCGGGCACCCCCGGCCTCCCCACCCCTCGCCAGGGACACGGCTCTGCCCAGAGCAGCAGCACAGCTTCCCACAGCCCCGGGCTCCGGGACACACCAAGGGCGCCTTTGCCACCCCTGCTCACCCTGAATTCCTTCACCAATATTAAATTATTATTTATTAGATTGGCAATATTGGATACATCAGATCTATTAGAGTAAGATGGACAGAACATGAAATAATGTTGTCATAAATTGACCAATGTGAACTTAAAACAAATATGGAAGCCCAAACCCAGGAACCTTTTGGTGTTTATTTGACCTGAGGAAGAAATGCTCAGACAGATCAACAGACAAAGGAAGGGACCTGGTGGAGGTGGAACTCCAAGCTCCTGCTCCATGAGCTCCGTGGGTCTGAACCCTGGGGTCGTTCCATGGCGTGGAGAGGAGACGGGGCAAGATCTGCTCGGGTCTGTCTCCTCCCTTCCCCGCTGCCACCACCCCAAGGCGGACAGGCCAGAGCACCTGGGAGATGCAGCGCTCATCCTGCATTTCCCTGTGCCTCCCCATGTGCCTGAGCAACCCCAGCCCAGTGTGGGAGAGGTTCTACAGTGACTGCTGTGTGCCCGAGAGACATTTGAAAAGAGGACCAATGTTCACCCCTAAAGGGATTTCCTACCGAGGTTGTTGACAGTGAAACCAAGAAGGAAGGAAGGAGAAATAAGAGAAACCTGCAGTTGCCTGTTCCAATGAGATCTTTGTTCGTCTTTCCTGACTAATGAGTAACTGTATGAGTTTTGTAAGAATGTATAAAAAGCATGCATGCTAGAATAAAACCAGCTTTGAAGCCTTCTGAAAACTGGTCGTGTTGCTTGGTGTTGTGATCGTCTCAACTCCGACAGCCCAGTCCCAGAGGTGGTGTCAGCTGTGGCGCTTTGGCTGAGCATTGGGAAGAGTTTCTGCCAGAGCCGCGTGGTCCTTTCCCATCGCTAGCGAGGGCTTTGGGGATGTCCCGCGGCTGCTGCTGCTGGTGGGAGAGCACGGGGAGCTGGGGGGACGTGCTGCCCAGAGCCAGCGGGCTCTGACATGCCCAGCTGGGACACACGGAGCCAGCTGTGCCCGGGCTCCGGGGCACTGCCCAGGGCGATTGCAGAGCCCAGCAGGCAGCCGGGAAATCGGGGCCTCAGGAAAAGGGAGGATGAAGGAAAAGCAGGAGTCAACATTGCAATGCAAAAGAGCTTTTATTGCAGGGGGAGGGCAGGAGGGGCTGGGCACGAGAGCAGGACCGTGGCCATGGGCTTGCCGTGGGCTGGCCCTGGGCACAGCCGGGCGAGCCGGAGCAGCAGCCCCGGACGAGTCTCTAGGAGCGGGGCAGCAGGAGCCCCGTGGGGATGCTCAGCAAGGGCAGGGACGAGGCAGAGCTGGTTCCCAAGGTGGCACGAGGCTCCTGAGGTGCGGAGCCCGGCCGTGCCCAAGGGGTTTTGGTCCGCAGAGCGTCGGGTCGGGATGTGCCGGGGTTTCTCCTGGAGCTCTTCTGGTTGGGAGGCCGCACTCAGGCCGGCGCTTAGCAGGGCCAGCAGTTGCCATTGAGGTAGCGGTGGCCACTGCTCCAGCCACCGTAGCCACAGCTGCCGTAGCCCCCATAGCCCCCATAGCCCCCATAGCCTCCACAGCCCCAACCCCCATAGAGCCCACGGCCTCCATAGCCCCAGCCTCCGTAGCCACCACGGCCTCCAAAGCCCCAGCCTCCGTAACCTCCGTAGCCCCCAAGGGCCCCGTAGCTGGCACGGCTCCCAAAGGCGCCCCCGGAGCCGGCTCCCACGTAGGGAGCTCCGGCCGAGCCCACGAGGCTCTGCTGCGGGAAGGAGCTGAGGATGGGCCCGGGGAAGGTGACCACCGAGGCCGGGGGCTGGATGACCACCGTGGAGTCGGGGCACTGCCGCACGCAGGGCTCGTTGCAGCTGTCAGCCAGAGGGGCCGGGGTGGCCACCCCGCAGCTGGGGACGCACAGGCTGGAGCAGGACATCCTTTGGCTCGGCTGGCAGAGCTGCAAGACAAGGCGCAGCCACGGCTCACGTCCCTTGCTGCCCTCACCATCCCTGAGCCTTGCGTGCCCATGGCAATGGAGAAGACTTGGACATCCGAGGGAGCAAAGTCCTCAAGCTTCCAAGAGACCTGAGTTCCCTCGTACAGCCCCAACCATCCCAGCTCTGCACGGGCAGAGCAAGAGGAGCACACAGCCAAAGGTTCCCCCAGAAAGCCCCAAAGTTTCCTTGAGAACCCCACGGATGGAGAAAGAAAGAGGAGCGAAGGCTTGGACTTACCAAGTTGACAAGGCGAGTCAAGCAGTGGAAGGTGAATGGAGCTCTGTGGAACCTTTGGGCCTTTTATACACCTCCCAAAGGGCCTGGGGCATCAGGAAAGGGAGCGGTGGCAAAAAAAAAAAAATCCAGGTAATTAGGAATTCAAGCTGACAAGCTTCATCAAAGAGATAATGACGAAATACAATTATAGACATCAACATGGGAAGATTGGTGTGGACACGTGCCCTGGACTGATGGGAGGAACAGCCGTGGCCCATCATTACGTGACAGCCAGGGTGCTGCTGGAGCTCAGCTCACAGCCCCAATAAACCCTGCTCTGTCCCTAATCCCTGACCTTGCTGACAAAGAATCCCGAGCATCCTTTGGGACACAGCTGTGCCCAGCCCCACCAGCCTGAGCCCCTGGCCCGGCCGTGCCCGTGAGCCAGCCGTGCCCAGCTGGGCCTGTCCTGGGCCAGGGCCAGGGCCAGCCTGGCTCTGGGGGACTCGGCCAACAGCCCCTGGGCAGCGCTCGGGGCCAGCTGGGCAGTGCAGCCCGGCCAGGAGGGCTCGGCCAGGACCCGCCGGGCAGACACGGGGCGGCAGGAGCCGCAGGGACCCGGCCCCACCGCTGCCCTTCGGCCCCTGCCGTGCTGTCCCCACTGTCACGGCTCTCCCGGGCTCTGTCCCACTGCTCTCCCCCTTCCCTGGGGGTCTGGGGGCTGCCCACCATGGGATCTGCCCCCTCAGCTCTTTGTGGGACCATCAGGGGAAACTGGGACATGGGAACCCCAATGTCCTGCAGAACCTCAGAGCGGCAATTCACAGACGTGTCCGGGGACCCCAAAACCTTGCCATGAACATTTCTGCTGGCAGTAGCAGTTGGTGGGATTTGGGACATGGGATGTCTCTGGATGTTCCTGGAACCTTTGGATGTCCCTGGAAGCTGGGAAATCTCCCAGCCCCTCCGCGGGGCCTCTCCGTGTCCCAGCCCAGCTCCTGCCCGCTCCGGGCCCCTCTCGGCAGCCCCACAGCAGCCCCGGGCCCCACCGCCAGCCCCCTGCCCGTGGGACACCGCCCGAGGCCCGTGGAGCCCCGGGGCCCTGGGCACTGCCCGGGGGCCGAGCGGAGCCCCCCGAGGGAGCCGAACCCGCTCGGGGCTCTCGGGAGGCCCCGGCTCGGCTGGGAGAGCGAGAACAGCCCCGGCCCCGCTCCCGCTGCCCCCTCATCCCCTCCCACATCCCTGCCCCGCCGCCGCCTCCCGCTCCCGCTCCTGCCGCCCGTTCCCCCGCGGCTCCTCGCAGCGCTGCCGGCCCCGCCGCGCCCCCGCTGCGGCTGCGGGAGCCCCTCCGGGCACCCCCGGCCTGCCCACCCCTCGCCAGGGACACGGCTGTGCCCAGAGCAGCAGCACAGCTTCCCCCAGCCCCGGGCTCCGGGACACCGGGGGGGCCTTTGCCGCCCCTGCTCATGCTGAATTACAGCACCAACATTAAAATCTTATTTATTAGACTGGTAATATTGGATGTGTCTGAACTCTCGTCCCAAGATAGACAGTACATGAAATAATATTGTCTAAAATTGATCAATGTGAACTTAAAACAAATATGGAAGCCCAGACCCAGGAACCTTTTGGTGTTTATTTGACCTGAGGAAGAAATGTTCAGACAGATCAACAGACAAAGGAAAGGACCTCGTGGAGGTGGAACTCCAAGCTCCTGCTCCAAGAGCTCTGCAGGACTGAAACCTGGGGTCGTTCCATGGCGTGGAGAGGAGACGGGGCAAGATCTGCTCGGGTCTGTCTCCTCCCTTCCCCGCTGCCACCACCCCAAGGCAGACAGGCCAGAGCACCTGGGAGATGCAGTGCTCATCCTGCATTTCCCTGCAACTCCCCATGTGCCCGAGCAACCCCAGCCCAGTGTGGGAGAGGTTCGACAGCAACTGCTGTGAGCCAGAGAGAAGTTTGAGAAGAGGATCCATGTTCAACCCAAAGGAATTTCCCATAGAGGTCTTTGACAAAGAAACCAAGAAGGAAAGAAGGAGAAATAAGAGAAACCTGCAGCTGCCTGTTCCAATGAGATCTTTGTTCATCTTTCCTGACCAATGAGTAAATGTATGGGTTTTGTAAGAATGTATAAAAAGCATGCATGCTAGAATAAAACCAGCTTGGAAGCCTTCTGAAAACGGAGTGTGTTGCTTGGTGTTGTGACCGTCTCAACTCCGACAGCCCAGTCCCAGAGGTTGTGTCAGCTTTGCCGCTTTGGCTGAGCATTGGGAAGAGTTTCTGCCAGAGCCGCGTGGTCCTTTCCCATCGCCAGCGAGGGCTTTGGGGATGTCCCGCGGCTGCTGCTGCTGGGAGAGCACGGGGAGCTGGGGGGACGTGCTGCCCAGAGCCAGCGGGCTCTGACATGCCCAGCTGGGACACACGGAGCCAGCTGTGCCCGGGCTCCGGGGCACTGCCCAGGGCGATTGCAGAGCCCAGCAGGCAGCTGGGAGATCGGGGCCGCGGGAAAAGGGAGGATGAAGGAAAACCAGGAGTCAACATTGCAATGCAAGAGAGCTTTTATTGCAGGGGGAGGGCAGGAGGGGCTGGGCACGAGAGCAGGGCCGTGGCCACGGGCTTGCCGTGGGCTGGCCCTGGGCACAGCCGGGCGAGCAGGAGCAGCAGCCCCGGGCGAGTCTCTCGGAGCGGGGCAGCAGGAGCCCCGTGGGGATGCTCAGCAAGGGCAGGGACGAGGCAGAGCTGGTTCCCAAGGTGGCACGAGGCTCCCGAGGTGCGGAGCCCGGCCGTGCCCAAGGGGTTTTGGTCCGCAGAGTGTCGGGTCGGGATGTGCCGGGGTTTCTCCTGGAGCTCTTCTGGGTGGGAGGCCGCACTCAGGCCGGCGCTTAGCAGGGCCAGCAGTTGCCATTGAGGTAGCGGTGGCCACTGCTCCAGCCGCCGTAGCCACAGCTGCCGTAGCCCCCATAGCCCCCATAGCCCCCATAGCCTCCACAGCCCCAACCCCCGTAGAGCCCACGGCCTCCATAGCCCCAGCCTCCGTAGCCACCACGGCCTCCAAAGCCCCAGCCTCCGTAACCTCCGTAGCCCCCAAGGGCCCCGTAGCTGGCACGGCTCCCAAAGGCACCCCCGGAGCCGGCTCCCACGTAGGGAGCTCCGGCCGAGCCCACGAGGCTCTGCTGCGGGAAGGAGCTGAGGATGGGCCCGGGGAAGGTGACCACCGAGGCCGGGGGCTGGATGACCACCGTGGAGTCGGGGCACTGCCGCACGCAGGGCTCGTTGCAGCTGTCAGCCAGAGGGGCCGGGGTGGCCACCCCGCAGCTGGGGACGCACAGGCTGGAGCAGGACATCCTTGAGTCTGGTGAAGGCTTCTGCAAAACACCACAGAAACAGGTAAAGATGTCAGGAAGGAATTTCCTGGAATGAGACAGAGAGAGATCCTCAAGAGGCCTCGGAGAGCTGCACTTACCCAGGTGATGAGAGGAGTCAAGTGGAGAAGTGCGGATGGAGCTGTGCAAGGAGCTCAGCCCTTTTATACACCCCAGAGAGCCTGGGGCTTCAGGAAAGTGGGTGGTGACAAAAAACATGAATAATTAAGAATTCATGCTGACAAGCTTCATCAGTGAGATAATGTTGCAAGATAATTCCATGGCATCCCCTCACTGAGGACACAGGTGTGAAAATATGTCCTGGACGTGACAGAATTGATGGGAGGGATAGCCCTGACCCATCATTAGGTGACAGCCAGGGTGCTGTTGGAGATCAGCTCTCAGCCCCAATAAGCCCTGCTTCTGTCCCTAATCCCTCACTTTGCTTACAGAGAACAATTCCCGGCATCTTGCAGCAGCTTGGAAGCGTTGCCCCAGCCCTCACCCCAGGCATTACATCTCTTTTACGGGCTGGTAAACAGAGGCAGCGGCACCTTGGGAAGAGGAGAAGCCACTCTCGGGGTGTCTCCCAAATTGCACCCACAGCCAGTGCCAGCAGAAATGTTCATCGTGAGGTTTTGGGTTCCCTGGACATGTCTGTGAATTGCCACTCTGAGGTTCTGCAGGACATTGCGGTTTCCACGTCCCAGTTTCCCCTGGTGGTCCCACAAAGAGCAGAGGGGGCAGATCCCATGGTGGGCAGCCCCCAGACCCCAGGGAAGGGGGAGAGCGGTGGGACAGAGCCCGGGAGAGCCGTGACAGAGGGGACAGCACGGCAGGGGCCGAAGGGCAGCGGTGGGGCCGGGTCCCTGCGGCTGCTGCCGCCCCGTGTCTGCCCAGCGGGTCCTGGCCGAGCCCTCCTGGCCGGGCTGCACTGCCCGGCTGGCCCCGAGCGCTGCCCAGGGGCTGTTGGCCGAGTCCCCCAGAGCCGGGCTGGCCCTGGCCCTGGCCCAGGACAGGCCCAGCTGGGCACGGCTGGCTCACGGGCACGGCCGGGCCGGGGCTCAGGCTGGTGGGGCTGGGCACAGCCATGTCCCAAAGGATGCTCGGGATTCTTTGTCAGCAAGGTCAGGGATTAGGGACAGAGCAGGGTTTATTGGGGCTGTGAGCTGAGCTCCAGCAGCACCCTGGCTGTCACGTAATGATGGGCCATGGCTGTTCCTCTCATGGGTCCAGGGCGCATTTCTGTAGCAATCTTTCCAATGTTGATTCCTATAATTGTATTGTGTCATTATCTCTTTGATGAAGCTTGTCAGCTGGAATTCCTAATTACCTGGATTTTTTTTTTTTTTTTTTTTTGCCACCGCTCCCTTTCCTGATGCCCCAGGCCCTTTGGGAGGTGTATAAAAGGCCCAAAGGTTCCACAGAGCTCCATTCACCTTCCACTGCTTGACTCGCCTTGTCAACTTGGTAAGTCCAAGCCTTCGCTCCCCTTTCTTTCTCCATCCGCGGGGTTCAAGGAAACTTTGGGGCTTTCTGGGGGAACCTTTTGCTGTGAGCTCCTCTTGCTCTGCCCGTGCAGAGCTGGGATGGTTGGGGCTGTACGAGGGAACTCAGGTCTCTTGGAAGCTTGAGGACTTTGCTCCCTCGGATGTCCAAGTCTTCTCCATTGCCATGGGCACGCAAGGCTCAGGGATGGTGAGGGAAGCAAGGGACGTGAGCCGTGGCTGTGCCTTGTCTTGCAGCTCTGCCAGCCGAGCCAAAGGATGTCCTGCTCCAGCCTGTGCGTCCCCAGCTGCGGGGTGGCCACCCCGGCCCCTCTGGCTGACAGCTGCAACGAGCCCTGCGTGCGGCAGTGCCCCGACTCCACGGTGGTCATCCAGCCCCCGGCCTCGGTGGTCACCTTCCCCGGGCCCATCCTCAGCTCCTTCCCGCAGCAGAGCGCCGTGGGCTCGGCCGGAGCTCCCTACGTGGGAGCCGGCTCCGGGGGCGCCTTTGGGAGCCGTGCCAGCTCCCTTGGGGGCTACGGAGGTTACGGAGGCTGGAGCTTTGGAGGCCGTGGTGGCTACGGAGGCTGGGGCTATGGAGGCCGTGGGCTCTACGGGGGTTGGGGCTGTGGAGGCTATGGGGGCTATGGGGGCTATGGGGGCTACGGCAGCTGTGGCTACGGCGGCTGGAGCAGTGGCCACCGCTACCTCAATGGCAACTGCTGGCCCTGCTAAGCGCCGGCCCGAGTGCGGCCTCCCACCCAGAAGAGCTCCAGGAGAAACCCCGGCACATCCCGACCCGACGCTCTGCGGACCAAAACCCCTTGGGCACGGCCGGGCTCCGCACCTCGGGAGCCTCGTGCCACCTTGGGAACCAGCTCTGCCTCGTCCCTGCCCTTGCTGAGCATCCCCACGGGGCTCCTGCTGCCCCGCTCCTAGAGACTCGCCCGGGGCTGCTGCTCCTGCTCGCCCGGCTGTGCCCAGGGCCAGCCCACGGCAAGCCCGTGGCCACGGCCCTGCTCTCGTGCCCAGCCCCTCCTGCCCTCCCCCTGCAATAAAAGCTCTCTTGCATTGCAATGTTGACTCCTGGTTTTCCTTCATCCTCCCTTTTCCCGTGGCCCCGATCTCCCAGCTGCCTGCTGGGCTCTGCAATCGCCCTGGGCAGTGCCCCTGAGCCCAGGCACAGCTGGCTCCGTGTGTCCCAGCTGGGCATGTCAGAGCCCGCTGGCTCTGGGCAGCACGTCCCCCCAGCTCCCCGTGCTCTCCCAGCAGCAGCAGCCGCGGGACATCCCCAAAGCCCTCGCTGGCGATGGGAAAGGACCACGCGGCTCTGGCAGAAACTCTTCCCAATGCTCAGCCAAAGCGGTACTGCTGACACCACCTCTGGGACTGGGCTGTCGGAGTTGAGACGATCACAACACCAAGCAACACACTCCATTTTCAGAAGGCTTCCAAGCTGGTTTTATTCTAGCATGCATGCTTTCTATACATTCTTACAAAACTTATACATTTACTCATTGGTTGGGAAAGACGAACAAAGATCTCATTGGAACAGGCAGCTGCAGGTTTCTCTTATTTCTCCCTCTTTCCTTCTTGGTTTCTTTGTCCAAGACCTCTGTGGGAAATTCCTTTGGGTTGAACATGGATCCTCTTCTCAAACTTCTCCCTGGCTCGCAGCAGTAGCGGTAGAACCTCTCCCACACTGGGCTGGGGTTGTTTGGGCCCATGGGAAGGCGCAGGGAAATGCAGGATGAGCGCTGCATGTCCCAGGTGCTCTGGCCTGTCCGCCTTGGGGTGGTGGCAGCTGGGAAGGGAGGAGACAGACCCGAGCAGATCTTGCCCCGTCTCCTCTCCACGCCATGGAACGACCCCAGGGTTCAGTCCCACGGAGCTCTTGGAGCAGGAGCTTGGAGTTCCACCTCCCACGAGGCCCCTTCCTTTGTCTGTTGATCTGTCTGAACATTTCTTTCTCAGGTCAATAAATGCCAAAAGCTCCCTGGGTCTGGGCTTCCATATTTGTTTTAAGTTCACATAGATCAGCTTTAGACAATATTATTTCATGTTCTGTCCATCTTACTGTAATAGGTCTGATGTATCCAATATTGCCAATCTCATAAATAATAATTTAATATCGGGGAAGGAATTCAGGGCGAGCAGGGGCGGCAAAGGCCCCGCGGTGTGTCCCCGAGCCCGGGGCTGTGGGAAGCTGTGCTGCTGCTCTGGGCACAGCCGTGTCCCTGGCGAGGGGTGGGCAGGCCGGGGGTGCCCGGAGGGGCTCCCGCAGCCGCAGCGGGGGCGCGGCGGGGCCGGCAGCGCTGCGAGGAGCCGCGGGGGAACGGGCGGCAGGAGCGGGAGCGGGAGGCGGCGGCGGGGCAGGGATGTGGGAGGGGATGAGGGGGCAGCGGGAGCGGGGCCGGGGCTGTTCTCGCTCTCCCAGCCGAGCCGGGGCCTCCCGAGAGCCCCGAGCGGGTTCGGCTCCCTCGGGGGGCTCCGCTCGGCCCCGGGCAGTGCCCTGGGCCCCGGGGCTCCACGGGCCTCGGGCGGTGTCCCACGGGCAGGGGGCTGGCGGTGGGGCCCGGGGCTGCTGTGGGGCTGCCGAGAGGAGCCCGGAGCGGGCAGGAGCCGGGCCGGGACACGGAGAGGCCCCGCACTGGGGCTGGGCAGGCTCCGGCTCGGGGGGACTCTGCTGCGGGGCTGGGCTGCCCCAGGGCTGCGGGACGAGCCCGGGCAGTGCCGGGGCTTCTCCTGCGCCGTGTCCGAGCGGGGCCGGCCGGAGCCTGCTGGACAGCGGCCCGGGCCGGGCAGGGGGTGCTGAGCAAAGAGCAGCCGAGACCTGTGAGCCTTGCAATGCGAGCCAGCTTTTATTGCCGTGCGGGGACAGGGGGGTTCCGCGGCGGAGCGGGGCCCGGGCCGGGGGCTCCCCGCGGGTCCCGGCCGCGGGCAGAGCAGGAGCCGAGCTGGGGCCGTGCCGGGAGCGGGCAGCGATCGCTGCGGGGCTCCGAGCGCGGCAGGAAGGCGGCGGGGCGCGGCCGGGGCACGTCTGTCGGTCTGTCCTTCAGCCGGGCCTTGGCGAGCGGGGATGGGCCGGGGGCGCTCCTGGAGCTCTCCCGGCTCTGGGGCAGGGCTCGGGCTGGGGCCTAGCAGGGCCCGCAGCCTCTGGAGCCGCCGCAGCTGCCCCCAAAACCTCCGAATCCTCCAAAACCTCCGAGTCCCCCAAAGCCCCCGGAGCCGCCGGAGCCCCCACGGCGTCCGAAGGAGCCGCCGAAGCCGCCTCCGACGTAGGGAGCTCCGGCCGAGCCCACGAGGCTCTGCTGCGGGAAGGAGCTGAGGATGGGCCCGGGGAAGGTGACCACCGAGGCCGGGGGCTGGATGACCACCGTGGAGTCGGGGCACTGCCGCACGCAGGGCTCGTTGGTGGCGTCAGCCAGAGGGGCCGGGGTGGCCACGCCGCAGCTGGGGATACCGCAGGACATCCTGGAGACTGGAAAAGGCTTCTGGAAAACACCCGGGAAAGAGGCAAAGGTGTGAGGGAGGAGTTGTGCTGAGAGAGAGCCCCAAGAGCCTTCGGAGAGCTGCACTTACCCGGGTGATGAGAGGAGTCAAGTGCAGGAGTGTGGATGGAGCTGTGCAAGGAGCTCAGGCCTTTTATACACCCCAGAGAGCCTGGGGCTTCAGGAAAGGGGGTGCGGGCAGACTCCCCCTCCAGTAATTACCAATTCACGCTGAGAAACTTCATAAATTGAGGGGACGCGGACAAATTCTGTCATCCCCCCATTGTGGACATTGGTGTGAACATGAGTGGACAAGAGAGAAGCGCTTGCAGGGACGGCCGTGGCCCATCATTACGTGACGGGCACGGTGCTGCTGGAGCTCAGCCCACAGCCCCAATAAACCCTGCTTCTGTCCCTAATCCCTCACCTTGCTGACAAAGCATCCCAAACCTCCTTTTGGACACGGCTGTGCCCAGCCCTTCCAGCCTGAGCCCTGGCCCAGCCGTGCCCGAGAGCCAGCCGTGCCCAGCTGGGCCTGTCCTGGGCCAGGGCCAGGGCCAGCCTGGCTCTGGGGGTCTCGGCCAACAGCCCCTGGGCAGCGCTCGGGGCCAGCTGGGCAATCAGAGGTGGGCTGGGCTGAGGTGTTCTTGGTCCTCTCTTTTCCTTGGTCCTCTCTGTTGGCCTCCCCTTACTCGTTTATCCAACTCCTGGTCCCACCTGTGTCATGCCCACATCCGTGCTGAGATGGATCTTTGGTGAAGCTTCATCTTGCACGGGATCTCCTCCCTTTTCGCACCACCATCAGGAGAATCGGGGGTTTAACAAATCCCCCAGTGGCACTGAAAACTGTCCTTTGTGATTGTCCCTCCCAGAACCCTCTGTGCCCAGCCCTGTGCCCAGCCCTGTGCCCAGCCTTGTGCCGGGTGGGGTGACCCTCCTGGGGCAGGAGACGGGGGCTGCTGTCCCTCTGTGCTCCCCCCAGCCTGCCCCACTCCGGGACTCTGCTCCTGCCACGTTTGGCGTTTGGGATGTGCCCCGAGTGGGTGGGATGGCTTCTCCCTCCCGGCGTCCCTATTTAGCAGCCCGTAAAAAGGAATTAATGACAGATGTACTGGCTGTGCCCAGCATTTCAAAGCATTCATGAGTGATTCTCAAAACTCCTGTGAATGAGCAAAGCGGGGGATTAGTGACAAACCAAGGTTTATTGGGACTGTGAGCTCGGCTTCAGCAACAAACCATCTTACACACAGCGATTGGTCATGGTCTGTCCTTTCAGGGCCTGGTGGCTCTCCAGGGCACTTTTACTTGTTCCTAGCGCCAATTAGGATGGATGTAATTACCCCACGATTCAGTTTGTGTCATGAGGTTTGTCCGCTTGATTCCATGGTTCGCTGGGGCTCCAGTCATCACCCCTGGACGGTGCCCCAGGCACTCCGGGGTGTATAAAAGGTCCGAGGGCTCCACAGGGCTCCATCCAGCTCTCCCCACTTGACTCTGCTCATTGATCGCTGTGGTGAGTCCGAGCCTTCCCTGCGTCCTCCCTTGCTCCTCTCGCCTTGCCCAGGGAGCCTTTGCCGAGCATTTCCCGAGGGGTCTCTGTGCCCGCGCTGCCGCGGCTGTGCCAGGGCAGGCTTGGGGGGCTCGGGGTTCCACCCGCGGGCTCCAGGCCTCGGGAGCCTGGCGCTTGGGTGAGGGAGTTTTCCTTCATTGCCACGGGCAGGCAAGAGCCGGGGGTGGTGAGGGCAGCTGGGCATTGCAGGAGCCGTGCCAGCCGTGCCAGGGCTTCGCTGGGAAGGCCTGGGGTGATCCCGAGCGAGTCCCGGGCCACGGGGTGCGGGTGGGAGAGAGCAGCGGGGCTTTGGGAGAGTCCTTGGCGTGAGCCGTGGCTGTGCCTTGTCTTGCAGCTCTGCCAGCCGAGCCAAAGGATGTCCTGCTCCAGCCTGTGCGTCCCCAGCTGCGGGGTGGCCACCCCGGCCCCTCTGGCTGACGCCACCAACGAGCCCTGCGTGCGGCAGTGCCCCGACTCCACGGTGGTCATCCAGCCCCCGGCCTCGGTGGTCACCTTCCCCGGGCCCATCCTCAGCTCCTTCCCGCAGCAGAGCCTCGTGGGCTCGGCCGGAGCTCCCTACGTCGGAGGCGGCTTCGGCGGCGCCTTTGGGAGCCGTGGGGGCTCCGGGGCCCTCGGGGGCTATGGGGGCTTTGGGGGCTACGGCGGCTTTGGGGGTTTCGGGGGCTCTGGGATCTGTGGCCGCGGTTCCAGGTCCCTGGGGGGCTCCTGTGGGCCCTGCTAAAGCCCGAATCCCGGCGGAGTTCAGCGCTGCCCCTGCCCGCGGGCTCCTCCAGCTGCCCCCGCTGCCTTGTGCCGCCGGGGCCGGGCTGGAGCTGCAGCCGCTGCTCGGGGCCGGTCCGGCAGCCCCGGGAGCCGCCGGGTCCCTGGCACTGCCCGCTGCCCCTGCGGAGCCTCGGCCGGCGCCTTCGGGGCTCCCCACGCTGCCTCCAAAAGCTGCCCCCTCTCTGCCAGCCCCGCCAGCCGTGCCGAGCCCGGGCTGAGGCTCTGCCCTGCTCTGCCCAGCTCCGAGCCCCCAACTCGCCCTGGGCAGGGGCAGCCTCTGCGCTGCAGCCCTGGGCTGGGCCTCGCTGCTGCCTTGGGATTCTCGTGTTTCCAACGTCTTGCTGCTGGTTTGTCTCTCGCTGACACCGCCTGTGGCTTTTTTCATGCACAATAAAGAATCTGCATTGCACGAACGATTTATTTTGGTATGGATTTCTTCATCCTGGCTGTAAATGAGTCTCCAACTGAGCGATGGTGTGGAATGTCCCATCGTGGAATCACAGGATGGTTTGGGTTGGGAGGGACCTTAGAACTCATCCTGTTCCACCCCGTGCCGTGGGCTGGGACACTTTCCACTGTCCCAGGGTGCTCCAAGCCTTTTCTAACCTGGCCTAGGACACTGCCAGAGATGGAGCAGCCCCAATTTCTCTGGGAAATCCATCCCAGGGGCTCTCCATCCTTGCCGGGGACAATTCCTGTCCCGTGTTCCACCTAAACCCCTCTGCACGGGTCTGATCCCATTCCCCCTTGTCCTGGCACCCCATCCCTTGGGAATTGTCTCTCCCCGTGGTCCTCGAAGCCTCTTCAGGTCCTGCAAGGCCACAGTTGGGTCACCCCAAAGCTTCTCGAGGGTGAACATTCCCAGCTCTCCCAGCAGAGCTGCTCCATCCCTCGGATCCCATCCTGGAGCCTCCTCCGGGCTCTCCTCTCTCCCTGAAGGTGTTTTCCAAACACTCCTGGAGCTCTGACAGCCCTGGGGCCCTGCCCATTCCCTGGAGAGCCTGGGCAGTGCCCAGCATCCTCTGGGGGAAATTTTCCCTGATCTCCCACCCAAACCACCCCTTTTTATATTTATTTTTTAAAATGTGGTAAAGGAAAACATAAAATGTATTTCGGTAGAGAAAATTTATTTGGAAAGAGAAGCTTTCCTACAACTGTGGAACAAAACTGTACAGGAAACAAAGAGCATCGTTCTAGGGGTTCAGCGAGGCTCTGGCAAATCACCAGCATCCAAGTAATGCCGCCTGTAAAAACGGGGAATTTCCCTTTTTGGCAGCGTTGCCCGTGCAATTCCGAGCATTTCAAGTCACCTCTCTAAGCTCAGTGCCAGTAAAAAATCCGGGATAAGCCAAAGCACGGCGGAAGCAGACGACTGCGCTGCAAAGCTGCGGGAGAACAGCTCTAAACTAAGGGAAAAAAACGAGGAATTGCAACACGAGCCCGCCTGTCCCGGGGCTGAGCTCCCGCATCTCTCGGGAAGAACCGGAGCAGCCCCGGGGCCGCCGCCGCAGCTGCCCCGCCAACGGCAGCTCGGATTTCACCCGGAATTTCCCCTGCTGCCCGTCCCGGGGCTCAGCACGCCCAGCGCTTCCCGGAGCGGTAGGAATTGCAGGGGTGAGTCCATTGCGAGGAGTAGCTGTAGGAATATTTGGGGGCGCAGCGCGGCTCGGCACGGGCCAGCACCGGCGCCGCCGCTTTGTCCCCCGCCGCCTCCAGCCGGGCCGTGACCTCGGCGGGCAGCGCGGCCGCGGCCGGGGGCTCGCCCAGGGCCACCTCCGAGGGCTCCGAGGCTCCCACCACGGTTTGCTGCGGGTACGTGGTGAGGATGGGCCCCGGGAAGGTGACCACCACGGGCGGGGGGTAGATGATGACCCGCGAGTCGCCGCAGGTCACCACGCAGGGCTCGTTGGTGCTGCTGGCCAGCGGCTGCGGACACTTGGGCTCGCAGGGAGGGGGACAGGCCAGCTGGGTGGAAGCCATCGCCCGGCGGTGCTGGGGGAGAGCCTGCGGGGTGAGAAAAAAACCAAACAAAGCTCCAAAAGCGAAACGAACGGCTTCTGGCGGCTCTTGGCTGTTTGGAGTTTGGGTCTAAAAGATCATCAGTGGAAATTGGTATAGAGACAGAAATGGAGCGCTGGTTTATTGGCATTTGGGTCTAAAAGATCATCAGTGGAAATTGGGATAGAGACAAAACTGGAGCTCTTATTTATTGACATTTGTCTCTAGGGGTCGTTAGAGATAATCGAGTTCAAGACACGAGCCGAGCGCTGGTTTATTGGCATTTGGCTCTAAGTGGTTTGTAGAGATAACCGAGATCTCTCTAAAAGGATCCTGAGCTCCTAAACTCGGGAAATAACAAGAGCTGAGCACTCGGTTATTGACATTCTAAGAGATAACTCGGGTAAGAACAAGAGCTTATCGCGTGTTTCCTGACCTTTGACTCTAAGACCTTGTCAGAAATAACTGAGATAAAAACCAGAATTGCTCTCCTGGCTATTGACATTTCGTTTTAAGATCTTGTTAGGGATAACCGAGATAAAAGCCAGAATTGATCTCTCCCCTATTGACATTTGTCTTTAAGAGATCCTGGGAGGTAATTTAGATATAGTTTTATCTCCCACCTTTAACTTCCCCGCCCCGATTTGTTCTGAATTCCTGTTAAATTTTCATTTTCTCCTCTTCCCCGGCAGCAGAACTCCTCCTCTTTCCTTCCGTGCCACCTCCAAGCCCCGGCCCTGCCCCAACCCTCCCGGCCCTTTGGAGGAATTCCCGAGGACGCGCTCGAACTGGTTCCCACAGCGCCTCTGTTCCTCCCACACGGGGAAAAAACAAAAAACAAAAAACCACGGATTTTCCACGTATTTCATCGTGGAATAATCAACTTAGCACCATGCTTAATTTTTGTATTATTTTCCTTGCAGATTCCTGTTGTTTTCAGGCAGGAAAATATTCTGCTAAAACACAGGGGGGAAAAAGCAAAAGGCTGAGAATAAGTGGGAGTGTTAAGTGCTCGTTTAATTAATGAAACGTATAATTAAAATATTTATATAATATAATATATATATTAAAATATTTCTGTAGTTATATAGTCAAGCCAAATAAGAAAATTACATTTTCACCTAGGGGAAATTAATTCAGTAATATTTATTTCTTCAGGTTAAATTCTCACATAAAATCCTGGTGCAGCATCAGAATATTTTTTTAAGCTTGTAAATCAAATTTATATTTTTGATAATTAAAAAACCCATGCAGGGCATTTTCCTCCAAATTCCCTCAAGTTAGAACGCAGCACTGACCTAGAGAAATGCTGAATTTAATCTCTGTGAAAGCGCTTTGGGATTGTAAATCAGTTTTAAGAGTTAGAAATGAAAGTTATTGGCACAGTTACGTTAATAGTCCATAATAATCGCTTGGTGTAGTGGCTCCAATTAAATTAAGGATGAGCTGATCCAAGCAGCAGCAGAGCTGCACCGAGCTCACTTCCAAGCCGCATTTTCCATAGTGTTCCATTAATCCCACCGCCCTGGTCGTGCCTCACAACGCAAGGCGATGTTAAATCCATTCCTGAAACTTTCCCAAATATTTCTGTAGAATCAAGAGACTGAAATCCCTCATTCTCCCATAAATTCCAAACCCCGGCAAAGCCCCGCTTTGATTTTCGCACCCTTCGCCCAGCACGGAAAGCAGCAGCAGGACAGCGCTCTGAATCCCTCAGAACCAGAACTCCTTCAGCCCCGATTTTGAGGAGAAATCCACGCAAGAGCAGAGGGAAACTGGAGGGGTTTAGAGCCCGAACTTACTCAGAGAGGCGGAGAGGAGGAGTCGGGAGAGGCAGTGAGGAGATGCGCGCTGCAGAGGGGTTTTATATCCTGCCCCATGGCCGGGGGCGGCTGAGCCAGCCTTTGCTAAAGCGCTTTAATGACTCGGGAGCGCAGCCCGGTGCTCGGATCGCTCCTGGAGCCGCAGGAATTGTTTTGCTCGCTGTTTATGATTATCTAAAAACCGCGTTGGGCAATAACCCCAAAAACGCAGGTGGCAACCCGCCAGGTCTTTTCATCTCGGAATTTCCTGCTTTTCCCCTCCCGGTTTCATTAAGGGGTGAAAATGCAGCGAGAATTAATGAGTTTTTTTTGGCTTATCTTGGCTAAAAGCTGGAGTGCGCGGGGAATCTTGGAGTGCCAGGGTGATTTTCCTTATGGAAGCAAAACCTAACACAGGGAATCGTATCCGTGCCTCGTTTATCAAACCAGGGATTCTTTCCCATAATGTTGGTGGGATTTACAGGTATGCTCCGAAGTCAGGGGAAGGATCTGGCGCAAATCTGAAGAGCAAAGCTCGGGGTTATCTTTGGAATAAAAACGAAGCCGTTCATGAATTATGCCAACCGGGGAAGTTTAAAATGAGGCGTTAGATGGAACACTTTCCATAATTTATTCTTTGTGAGCTCACAGCAGCCCGGATCCTCTAGGATGTCATTACCGTGATTACCACGAGCTGATTTCCCTGGATGACAAACTCGCAGAGGTTTTGAGATCCTCTTTGAAATCTCATTTTCTGATGTCTCCGGAATATTCCCGATAAGCTCCAAAGCCCTGCGGGATCTCTGGAGCTGCCTCATAAAATCAGAATAATTCCTGGCATGCCACAAAGCCCGGGATGGTTTTACCTCGTCTCAAGGTGGGCATTTCCAGGCTCAAAGGTTCCCTCCGGATGGAAGAGGGAGTGAAAAGGGAAAAAAGGCGCACAGAGCACCGGGATTTTGGGAAGATCCTCCCAGTGGCTTCTTTGTGAACAGGGAAGAGTTGGGGCCGTGTGGGTCCTTTTGGGATCACGTCCATGGCAGAGGAATCCTGTTTTTTTTCCCCCCAGGATTTAATCCTAACGAGGCTGGATGGACGTTGCCTATGAGGAGGAGCCCAAAATGCTGCCTTAAAATCGTCCATTTTCTTCTTCTCCCGAAATTTCCCATGTTTTTGTTATCATCCTTTGGAATTTCTTGCTCCAACACCTCCACTCCCTTCCCAAAATTCCTGCTCCAGACCAGAGGATTAAAGCACAAGGAGAAAGTGTGGAATTCATCCCTCGGTCAGGATTCCAGCTCCCCTCAGCTGATCCCTGTGGCATTTGGGAATTCCCAAGCCAGAAACCGAATCCTGGCTGGCAAAATCAGTCCCTGGAGCACAACGGGATGAACTCCTCCCCAAACCCCCCGAAATGCAGAAATCTGGTGAGGAATTTTCTCTTTTCCACCCGCGTTTTGTGTTTTTCTTCAGTGCCTGAAGTTCGTTCGTCAGGAATTTTGGGGTCAGGGATGGATCCATACTGACGGAGGGGGAGGTTTAGAGGGGATTTGGGAAGGAATTTTGTGAGAGTGGGGAGGCCCTGGCACAGCTTTTCCGGGGAATTTCTGGGAAAATCCATTCTCAGAACTTCCCCAAATATTTTTTTCAGAATTAAGAGACTGAAATCCCTCATTCTCCCATACATTCAAAAGCCTTGGGAAAGCCCCCGCTTTGATTTTTGCACCCTTTACCCGGCACAGAAAGCAGAGCAGGAAAGCGCCCCAAAATCCCTCAGAGCCAGAATATTTATGCAAAGTTCAGCCCCGATTTTGAGGAGAAATCCACCAAAAGGAAGAAAAGCGTCCGAGGCCAGGCTGGAAGGAGCCGGCACCGCGGCAGGGGTGGAACTGGGCGAGTTTTAAGGCCCCTTCCAGCCCAAACCGCCCCGTGAGTAACAAAGGGAACAAAGAGCGAGCGCAGACTGCAAACCCCACAACACAGAGCTTTAATATCCATTACTCCTAAATCGCTGCCGAAAATTACATCCTTGAGCAGGGCAGGGGCAGCTTTAATGCCGGTTAATTCGGTTTTTGTGCCCGGACCGGTTCGGCGGGGCTGCGGAGCCGCGGGGTTCGCTGCTGCGGCTGAGTCAGCAGCGCTGCCTCACGCAGGAATCATCAAAGACAGCCAAGATTTGGGGTGGGAGCGCTGCTCCCCGAGCTTGGCAGCCCCGGCCGGGCTCGCTTCAAAGCGGCTCTGCCCGCTGAGCTCAGCGGCGCAAAACTCGCGTCAGCTCCGGGAGGAGCTGCCCAGCGGGTCATTAACGCAATTAACGCCCCGCTCCCCGCGCGCTCGGCGCTGTCAGGAGCTCGGATTCCGCGGGGAAAGCCGGAGAACCCCAAAATCCAGGCGGGGACCCCCGGCCCGCTCAGGGCAGGGAGCGACCTCGGGGGTGCTGCCCAAGAGGCGGCGGCTCCCGGGGTGGGGATAAATCCCCAAATCCGCCCAGGGAAGGGGTTCGGGGTCGGTGGAACCCCGAGCACGCCCGGGGTGTCTCATCCTGCTCCAGGAAATCCTCCCCGATCCCCATTTCCTGCGCAGGGTGGGGCTGAAGCAAACGGCAGCTCCTGGATCGATTAATATATCATTTATATATTATAAATAGAATATTTATATTGCCCGTGGGGTGGGTGCGAGGCAGGAATGCTCTGCTCCGAAAAGATCTGCCGGGTCATGGTAGCTGAGCCTTTCCTGGAGGTTTTTTGGTTGATAAAAAAAGGGATTTTTTTTTTATTCTTAGGATGGTCCAGCCTTGCCAGGACCCGGAGGTGTGGGGGATACTGAGGCTCACTGGGGATTTTTAGTCTTTCCAGGGCTTCGCAGAGCAGCCGAACCCCCTAAATTCAGCAGTGTGACCCAGGATTTCTGCTTTTTGTTCGCTTCTAGCTGGGATGAAACCAGATTTCAAATCCTGAAAAAATAACAAAAGGATAAATTCAGGGAATTAAATGTTGGAGGAGTGCAAAAAGGAAAGGGAATGAAGGGAGGAGGCAGAAGAAAAACCTCTCCCTTAACAAGTGCTGACCAGAGCTGTACTGAGGTGTAGAATATATAAATATATAAAACAATTACAAATACCATACAAATAAATATAAATATTATAGAAAGAAATATAAATATGATATAAACAGTATAATTATTCTACAGTTGTTATGTAAATATATGCAAATGAGACACGTTATGTGTAAATATTTTGTATAAATATTATACATAAACATCACATATAAATATTATGGATTTGTATACTAGTATATAATTGCAAGAAAATGGAAATGCCGGGTTGGCAGGGCAGCAAAGCAAATCCAATTATATAAATTATATATATATAATATATAATTATATAAATGATATAAAATTCTATAAATTATATAAAATCTGCTCAGAGCACACCTGAATTCCCTTCTGCTTGTTTTGGGGTTTTTTTGTTTGTTTTTCTTTTTTAAAAATTAATTCTGGTTCTTGGTGTTTGGGTGGAGCCCCAGATCCGAGCTCCCTCGGTGACCTCGCGTCTCCCTCTGCTTGCCCCAGCTGGCATTGCACAACCTGCCTCAGTTTCCCCACAAAGCCCGGGACTTTTCTGCTCTCAGCCGCCCCAAACTTTTCTTTTTTCAGCACAAAAGGGGCGCCTGATTTCCTTCTGCCCCAGGAAAACCCCAGAGCCAGGAAAAAGCACCAGGGAATCTGGAGAGGAACTTTTCCTCAGGAACTGCAGCGCCAGGACACGGGAATGGGGTCAGAGGGGGAATTTGGGTGGGATTTTGGGTTGGAATTGTTCCCTGTGAGGGTCCCAGGTTACTCCATGGATTTCCCACCCCTGGAATGTCCCAGGCCAGGCTGGAGCCACCTGGGATGGTGGAATGAGCTGATTTTTCTTGTTCCTGCCCATGGAAGTAGAGGATTTCCGAGCTCTACTCCAATCCAAACCATTCCAAAATTCCAAAGTTCTGTGCTGCCATGAAATTCAGTGGATTTATAAATGTGGATGCCCAAGGTGCTGCTCATTTTCCTGCAGTCAGGCAAGGATGAATCCCAGACTGGTTTGGGTTGGGAAAATCTGAAATCCCGTCCCATTCCACCATCCCAAACCCCAGAGACTGATCTGGGCTTGGTGTTCCTCAGCTTTGTCACATTAAAACTAAATAAAACCAAATAAAATCAAACAAAACTCAGTAAAACCAATAAAAACAAATAAAAGCAATAAAAGCAAATAAAACCAAACCAAAGAAAACCCAACAAACCCAAATAAAACCAAATAAAAACAGATAAAACAAATTAAATCAAATAGAAACAAATTCTAAAAATGAAACCAAATTAAAACAAATTTTAAAAAATAAAAACAAGGCCTGCCCCACCCTGGCTGTGACAAAACAACCCCAGGGATGATCCCTGGGCATTCCTGGGATAATCTGGCCTGGGAGAAGGGGCTGGAGGAGGTGTTGGCACCATCAGGGCAGGAATGGATGGGTAAAAATAAAAACTGAGCTGTCAAAGCCCGAACATCCCTGATTTGTCATGTGGGGCCTGAAAATGCCTTTCCAAAGTTCCTTGGAATTATTGCTACCTGATTTTAGAGTTATTCCTTCCTGAATTTGGAATTTTGCCTTGTAGTTTTTGGAATTATTCCCACTCAATTTTGGAATTATTCCCTCTCGATATTGGAATTATTCCCTCTTGATTTTAGAATAATTCCCACTCGATTTTGGAATTATTCTCATCTGATTTTGGAATTTTTCCCACTCGGTTTTGGCATTTTTCCCAGCAGGATGGACCCCCCCCCCCCCCCGGGGGAAAACCCCACATTCTCAGGAGGGTTTAGGGCAGGGAAAGCCGGGGTTGTTTAATGGGAATAAACCACAGGAAGGAAACTAACGCTGCGGGGGGAGGAGCCGGCTATTTTTAGCAACCTCTGGGCGTGGCAGCGCTCGGAGTCACCCTGGTCCTCCCGGGGTGGCTCCGGGGTGACAAATTCCTGCCTCTGCTGCCACCAACCTTCCCCCGGGGTCAATTTAATGGAAATTCAATCCCCCGGGGGCTGGAGTATTAACGAAGCGTCATTAACGAAGATTTGTGCTTAATTGAGTGACGTCATCACCCGATAGTTGAGCATTAGGAGTGTGATAAGGCGTGGTTTGATTCAACCCGGGTTTTTTTTTTGGTTTTTTTTTGTCCCGATGTTTAGTGTAGGAAAAGCAAAAAGAGGGGAAAGATTTGGGAATTGTTTATTCTAAATATCCGTAAATGTTCTTGCCAGTTCCTAAATATCTGTAAATGTTCTGTAAATTTCCTGGGAGGATATTTGGGGATTTTGAGCCAGTCCAGACACTCAAAATCCCCAAATATCCCAAATTTCCGCCCAGTGACACCCCGGGCGATGCAGTCGCACCCTTGAGGGAAGGTGAACTTTGGCTCCCACCTCGGAATTTCCGCCAATTCCTTCACCCAGCCCCGGGGCGATTCACTAAAAATCCCAAACCACCTCCTGCCCCCCCCAAATAACCCAAAATAACCCTCCCGAAAAATGCCGCTCCCAACCCCCATCCTCGTGCAGCTGTTGCCCAACATCTGGATGTCCAAATCCGAATTTTCGTGTCGCAAGGCTTGTGCACAAAGATAATTAATGTTTGTGCAGCGCTCCCAGCCCTGTCAGCACGGGAAGGGGCTGGTTTGTGGAAAAAGCCGATTTGCAGATTTCCTTTGAGGATTAGAGGAAATTAAGTGGATTGGTGTGGACAGAACACCCCGGCGGGGGTTGAGGAAGGATTTTGGAAACGTGATTCCCTGGAAATTCCAGTGGGGGAACGTCAGCTCGTCAGCTCCTTAATTCTCAGCTTGATCACTCATTACTCCTACCTATTACCAAATATCAGCTAATATATACATCATCCTTAATATTTATATTTTTTTATTTCACATTTTATGATGCACATCCCTACACTGATCATCCTTGCCTATAATATATTTATATTTATTTATTTCACATGTTGCAGATTGTCCTTGCCCATAATATAGAATATTTATATTTATTTCTTTCGCATTTTAAGCTGCACGTCCCCACATTGCAGATGTTCCTTGCCCATAATATAGAATATTTATATTTATTTATTCCTCACGTTGCAGATCACCCTTGCCCAGCTTGTCCTAGCCCCAGGGAGGGTGACAGTGCCCAGCTCCTGCCTGTACATGCATGGCCCAGGATTTTTGTCCTATTTTTGGGGAACAGCCTGAGTCGGATGGAAAATTCAATCCAGGGCTTCAATTAATTTAAAAAAATCTGCATTTTTTTCCTGGGCCCAGCACCCAGAGGCAGCAGCATTTCACCCCAAAATCCAGGCTGGATGAAGTCTGGGAAAAAGGCAAAATCTCATTAATTTTGCTTGGTGAGTTGGTTAATGCTAATGTGGGGGGTGCTGAACCTCAGGAAAAGTCCCAAAGTCACTTCTGGGACCAAAAATGTTCAAAATAAAATGTGGAGGAGAAAGTTTTCCGCCAGAGCTGGAGTGACTGGACAGGGGGGTAGGTTCAGACTGAAAAAGGGGGAATTTGGGTGGGATTTTGGGGAGGAATTGTTCCCTGTGAGGGTCCCAGGTTATCCCATGGATTTCCCATCCCTGGGAGTGCCCAAGGCCAGGTTGGAACCACCTGGGATAGGGGAAGGTCCCTGCCCACGGAACCGGGGTGGGATTTTTTGGGATTTAAGGTTCCTTCCCATCCCAAACCATTCCAGAATTCCGTGGGCTGCTTTAGATGGGATTTTAGGGATCAATCCTTCCCTGGCTCAGGTGCTTCCATGGATTCCCCATCCCTGGGAGTGTCCAGGGCCAGGCTGGTTCCACCTGGGATAAGGGAACGTCCCTGCCCATGGCAGGGGGTGGCACAGGATGATTTTTGGGGTCCCTTCCACCCCAAACCATCCTAAAAAAGCAAAATCCAAAAGTGCATCTGCATGACAGCATTTAATGGGAACGAGAAGCTGAATTTACAAGTGCAAAACTCGCTGGAAAGGATAAAATCAAAGAATTCCAGGAGGGTCCACAACAAATCCCCACTCCCATCATTTTCATAGATTTTAGCAGAAAGATTTTACAGAGAGATTTATTCTTACAATTGCTGTATATATTTTGATTTTGTGGGTTTTTTCCCCCTGGCTTGCAATAAATGAGATAAAGAAAGGAAAAGAAGCTGGGAGAGCATTACACGGTGGGGCTAAGCAGGAATAAAGCACAGCAAGGAGCTACAAATTCCTAATTTTCAGAAATGCCAAGTAGAGCTGATTTATTTATTTATTTTAAAATGCCGGTTCAGCAAAATTTGCAAATGAGGAGGACTTTGGGTAAAATTTCATTTTGGAACCCAAGATTTTCAGTCATGTTGTTTGGGTGGATTTTGTAATTTTTTTTATTTTGAGAGAAATTGGTAATAAAACATCAGTGTTGGCATAAAAACGAATTTATTGACACACAGCTTTTAGGAAACCAAAAAAAAAAAAAAAAAAAAAGGAGATATATATATTTTTTAATTCTTGGAAAATTCTGGGCTTTGGTTTGCCCTAATTTGGAATGAAGTCAATAGAGAATTTTCAGTTTTCTCGTAGTTTAGAAATTCTAGTCCTCAGGCAGGTCTAGTGCCAGGAATCCCTGGATTTATGGACTCCATGGGAACCTCGGGAGCTCGGCACTTCTACAATCCATTATCCATAAACTTTAGTCGGGCTCTGTCTGACCGCTCAGTTGTGCTTTTCAGTCTATCCACAGATATCCAGGCAGGGTTTAGGTTGGCCTGCAAGTTCCACAACAAAACTGGGATAAGTGAGGAGGAAAAGGATTAAAACTGCCCAAAGCGCCCCAGAAGGAGGCGTTCACACCTGAGCCCAAAGCGCACCTACCCCCAAACCCATGGAATCCCTGGGAGCCCAGGAAGCTCCTGATGTCCAGCAGGGCCGTGGAGCCCACCAGGGTCTGCTGGGGGAAGGTGGTCAGCGTGGGCCCGGGGTAGATGACGGAGTAGGGGGGAAAGTCGGGCTCCACGATGTCCACCACGGTGTCGGGGTACTTGATGACGCAGGTGTCGCTGCGGGTCACGGCGAAGGGCTCGGGGCACGCCAGGCCCACGGGCAGGCAGCACTCGTGGAAGGGAGACATGGGGCAGGGCAGAGCTGGAAACGAGCAGGGAAAGAGGGAAAAATGAGAAAAAAACATCCTCAGTGTGGCGGAAAATATCTGGGATAAATATCGGGGTTTTTGTAACGCGGTTATGGGGATTTACGGCAAATTGGGAGCTCAGGTGGGAGTTGAATTTGGCAGGAATTGAGCAGGAATTCAGGTGGGAGTTGAATTTGGCCTGGAATTGAGCAAGGAAATAGGGAAAAATGATAAAAAATCATCCTTGTGTGATGGGAAATATCTGGGATAAATATCAGGGTTTTCGTAACGCAGTTATGGGGATTTACGTCAAACTGGGAGCTCTGGTGGGAGTTGAATGTGGCAGGAATTGAGCAGGAATTCAGGTGGGAGTTGGAATTCAGGAATTGACCTGAAGCTGATCAGGAAAAGAGGGAAAGATGAGAAAAACCCATCGTTGGTGTGGTGGGAAATATCTGCGATAAACAGCAGGGTGTTGGTAATGCGGTTACGGGGATTTACAGCAAATTGGGAGCTCAGGTGGGAGTTGAATTTGGCAGGAATTGAGCAGGAATTCAGGTAGGAGTTGGATTTGGCCTGGAATTGAGAAAGGAAAGATGGAAAAATGATAAAAAATTGTCCTTGGCAAGGTGAGAAATATCTGGGATAAATAGCGGGGTGCTGGTTACGCGGTTATGGGGAATTACGGGAAATTGGGAATTACAGAGAGCTCAGATGGGAGCTGAATTTGTCCAGTTTAATTTTCCAGCCAGGAACTCCTTTTCTTCCTCCTTGGACTTCCTGCTTTTCAACAGAATGCTATTTTCCAGACCATCACCATTTTAACCCCAAAAAGCTTTTATCCTGCAGCTTCTCTTCCCGGGATTTTCGCTGTGTCCATCCCATTCCTATTGCCAGCAGAAAACTACAACCCCTAGCTCAATCCCAGAGTTTAAACTCGGGTTTTAATCCTCGTTTCAACCCCCAGTGTGGAGGCTGCAGCTCGTGTCCTCCTCCCACCCTGTTCCAAGTGGAGCAGTGAGATCCACCCATCTTTTATGGGTCTCATTAGGGACCAGCTGGATATTTGAAATCCCAGATCGCTTTAAGCCCAGCCTGATATCGAGGCCAGATTTTTTGGGGCATGGTTTAATTATGGATTGAAGGCTGTGCTTGCCCTGGATTGTGCCCACACAGATTGGGAAAGGAAAACACGGAGGGAGAACGGATAATTTTCTGCATTTTCCTCATTTTACCTCTGTGGAGCTGCTGGGGGAGAAATTAAGGGCTGGCAAAGTGGGGGCTTGAGGTGATTTCCTAAATAAGTCCCCACTTCACTCCAGAAATCTCTGGGGGAGACAAAATCCAGGGGAGATTTCTCACATCTCCACCTGAACATCCCATTTTAACCTTTCTGAGTTAAAATATCTGTTGTTTTTTTTTTCCCCAACTGATTGAAGTCCAATCTCCTTAGACTTGAAAGTGAGGAAAAGGCACTCAACAGGCAACAATGGGGGATTTTTCCAGCTCAAAAGTTGGATCTGGAATGGCTGATTTTGGCTTTGGAAAAAGAAGATTGGTCCGGGGGTTGGGATCCTTGAGTGATTTCACATGATTTGTAAAATCTCATCCCAGAACTCCTGAAAGGAAGTGAAAAAGGAGTGCTTGGATGTTCCTGGTGCATTTGGAATTCAACGCTATAAATATATTTTAATCGAAGCCAGCAGTAAAGAAGATTTTGAATAAGGAAAATCTCTGTTCTGCTCTCTGAAGGATTGGGAAAATGTTTAGGGCAAGTTCTCCAACTTAACACTGGAGCCTCCTGGAAGACAGCTGAGGGTGAGAACATTGTAGAAATTAAATTTTAAATTATCATTCTTTAATGACACTGACTCTTTAGAATATGAAAAGAGCACCATGGAATTATTGAGACTCTTTAAGGATTCAGAGGGAGTTTTCTGTGCCCTCCCTAATTTCCACGAGCTGAGTGTAAAACTTCAATTAACTCCAAACTAAAGCATAATAAAAAGGCTTTTTCTGGCAAAACACCCCCTTGTCCTTTCACGAGCTCCCCCTGTCATTTGATATTCAGATAGCAACAATAATAATAATAATACAAAATAATTGATTTAAAATTCAATAATTGATTCAAAATTGACTTACCCGGATCACCCAAGGAGGAGAGGAAAAGAAAAGTGATTAGGGAGGCTTCTACGTAGCAAATGCTTTTATACACGTCCCCAAAGTGCCTGGAGGATGTGACACCCTCTTTGCATGAAGTCTTAATTAGTTGCAAAACAAACTTTGCTGCCTGCATAACTTCTGCGAGTAATGAAACTGTTTTGCTCCCTGTTTGTGTTTGTTCCCTCCCGGAGCTTCCCAGAGCGTGCTACGCCCTCCGGGCAGGATTCACTTTGCCCTTTCAAGGGCCAAAAATAGGGCTCGATCTGCTCCTAATTAACCACATTTCAGTTATTTTGGGGCCTGATCAAGGGTTCTTTTATTGGCATTGGGTTTTCCCTCTCAGGTTCTGTGAAAGGGAGCTGCAGTGGCATCATTTCCTATCAGGGTGCAGCATTGTTTTTATAATTTCCCAGTGCGGATGGGAATTTTTTTTATTCCCAAAACACTCCCGGCGGCATCAGTTGTACCCCTACACAGCCGGACACCCACGGAAAAGGAGAAAGAATAAATTCACAACTCCAGAATTCTCAATACACCCCACGAATTCTCAAGAAATCTTCAATTTCACGGCGTCAGTGAACACCTCTGACCCCGCGGGGAAAGCTCAGCCTTATCTTCATCCGCTTCTTACAAATCCTTGGACAGGGTTTAAACAGCTGGATTTGCTCCCGGGATTTGGGGGTTTGACCCCAGCGCAATTAAAGGCACCCAAATCCCACCCACGGTTCTGGCTCCTGACTCAAGGTGAAATCACCGAGCCTCACTCGGGCTTGGTTTTGTTTGTTGGGGCTTTTTTCCCCCCTTTCCCCACAGTTTTTTGGGTTGGAAAGGATATAATTGTGGGAAAGGAAAGGTTGGAACCCCCCAGGTTTTCTGGGATGGAATTAAGGGGGCGGGGGGAAAGTAGGCAAGAAATTGTTCTGTCCTGATGAAAACTTAATTTAACACAAATTAGGGATGTGAGTTCAATATAAAACCATTGAAATACTGGAGAAAATGGTGGTGGATAGTTTAACAACATTTTTGAGTGAGCCAGGCATGGATTTAAAATGTTTTTATTAAGATTTTAAAGAGGAAATCAGTGACAGAAAAAATCATAATAAAGACACAAATCAGGATTCCCAGAGAAAGAGATTTCTGAGGGAGCCAGGAACGTTTTGGGATAACAGTCCCCAAACAGTTTTATTTCTTTACTACATAAAAGCTGTCCTTAATTGAAGTCCTATTGGAATACCGGGATGGGATGCACTTAAATATTCGGGAACACCCTTAAAAGCACAATTCCGCCTCCGTGTCGTGTCCCTGACACCCAAATCTGCATAAATCCCTTGGGATCAGCACGAACCTTTTTGTTCCCAAGTGCCCACAAACGGTTTTGCCTTAGGACCCCTCTCTGGCTGCAGATAATTTATGCTGGGAGGGAAAATGGAGAGTAAATAATAATTAGGAACGAAGGGAGGCAGCTCAACTTCCTGGCACCTCGCTTGGGATATGAATCCTGGGGAAGAGGAATGAGAATTGTGGATATCCCATCCCTGGAAGTGTCCAAGGCAGGTGGGAATGCCCCAGGATTTAACCCCAATTAACCAGCCTTAGGTTATGTGAAAGATGTATCACAAAATTAATTCAGTTGAAGATATAAAGGGACACTAATGCATATTTTTATATTTTAATATTTTAAAAAATATTTTTAATTTATAAATGTTTTCATTTTTATTTTTATATGCCTATAATTACATCTATGTCTAGGATATATATTTATATTTTTATTTCTGTATTTATATATTTTCGAGGTTTTGTACTTTTAATATTTTATTTATATGATATATTTTTGGTTTTGTTTTACTTTTAATGTTTTATTTATATTATATATATATGTAGATATATAAAAAGGTATTTTATATTTCATTTATATTTATAGTTATATTTTATTTCCTTTCGGAACCCACATACTAAGATTTGCTTCTTGCCGATTAACCGCTCAACACTTTTGAAAGACAATAATTAATTGTATTTATATAAAAATTCACACAATGTGCTGCCAAGTGCAGATAAACTTAAACCTAATGGTTTATCCATTGGAGGTTGGATTTGATGACCTTGGAGCTCTTTTCTTGGGATTCTGTGAACCCTCCCTTTTTCCCAGCCCCTTGTGCTGCAGAACATTCTGGAACTCACAGGGATTTCTACTCCCTCTGCATTTTTGGGACCTCTATAAAAAACCTCCTTGGCCCTTCCCTTGCAGGCGGATTTTCCGTCGCCTTTGGCAGATTTTAATTCCAGTTATTATCTGGGTTTAGGGAAGCACAGGAGGCAAATGAATCCTCCCAGGTCACCCCGGGAGCAGTCGGAGGAACCCGCAGTGAACTGGGCTGACGTTTATTTCAATTCCGCATTTGAATTCCAGCGGCTCCTGCAGGCCTCGGCCGCGGTTCCGCGGGATCTGTGGCAGGAAGGAGAACCCCCAAACGCGGGATCAGCGTGATGGAGCTGGGAATGGAGGACTGGAATCTCCAAAGCCTGGCAGGATTAAGGGAGGAGCTGGGAGCGCTTCTGGACGTGTCCTGAAATGGCTTTTCCAGCTGGGGCCTGGAAATCTGTGCCAGTAAACACACCCCTGGGTTTTATATTAAAATAAATTTTGTTTTCAAAGTGTCCTGCGTAGTCACGTTCTCTCTGTGTGCTGTTTTGGGAGTACTGGAATGGTTTGGGTGGAAGGAGATTTAAAATAATTTCATTCCAAGCCCTCCCAGGAGCACAGGCGGCATTCAGCCAGGCCTCGGACACTTCCAGGGATGGGGAATCCACAATTCCCTGCAAAACCTCCCCACCCTCCCACAGAACATTTTTATCCTTAATTCCTCCCTCGGAATGAGCAGCAAACTTTGATTTCTTTCCATTTTCCCCTCAAAAAAAGTGCTGAGTTTGCGGAAGGTGCCAGAGGCCTCCAAGGCCCGATCCCTAATTAAAGCCCAGGCCTTTGTTTATGTCTTTCGAAACCTAAAGCTGCCACTTAAGAAATCTGCAATTACTGGGGCCTGCAAATTGCTCCCGTGGATGGGGTAATGATCCCCAGGCAGAAAATAATTCCTTTTTAATGAAAATCCTGCCCCAAAAATGCCCCCGTAGGAAACGCCGGCGCTGCCAAGGAATAATCGCATCAGTGTGGATTTATCTGCTTTTTAACAGCTAAAGAGGGAGGAAACCACGCAAATAAAAAATAATAATAATAATAAAAACAGGAGGGTGAAGCGGTGGGAATTTTCTTCGATTAATTGAAATGTTAACGAAGCCTTTTGTGTGTGTGAGGTGCTAATTAATTCCAGGTTAATTTTTTAGGATGAGTTGTGCATTCTCTCCTTGTGGGTCACACTGGCCCCGTTTGCATTTCTGACCTTCCCACTCTGCTCCTGGTGTTTCCCCAGAATTCCAGAATAATTGTCTTTTTTGGACTCTGAGGCTCAGAATTAAACTGAAAAAAATCCTTTTTTTTTTTCTCAGTTTCTTCTCCTGACAAGCCCCAGATTTTTATTAAATCTTAATCAAAGTTCTTTATTTCTTATTCCTTTATCAATATGAAAAAAATCAGCTCTGAGCCCCTCCCCCTAAATCCAAAATTAACCATGAATGGTCTCCACATTTTGATTTAAAAATTAGTCCCTGCTTGTGTAATTCCTGAGGAATCAGTGTTGTCCAATGTCCAGGTTTTCTCTGCAACAAATTCCAGCATTTGCCCATCCTGGGAAATCTGACAGAAGTAAAAAACCAAGGTTTTAATATAAAAATCAAACAGAGAAAATATTTATAATTATTAATATTATATTTGCAATAACAAATATGGTTGTTATTTATTATTTAGTGTACTGCTAATAGAGTATTATTTATGATAAATTTAATTAATATATATAATTTATTACATTTATAGCATTATATGAATAATTATAAATATATGATAGATTTAAAGTCTATATTTTTATATTTATATATTTTATAATTTATGATTTAAAAATATTTTTATATTTCTATATTTTTAGAGTTTTATATATTTGTAATTTTATATTTTATGTTTTGGTTTTTATATTTATATTTTCATACAAATATATTTATATAAAAATATAAATATAAATGGAAAAAATCGATAAATAAATACATTTACTAGATTTATTTTTATTTTATATTTTCATATATATTTTAAAAAGATCTGTTTATGACCAGGGATATCCATTACCAGGTCCTTCGGGGTGACTTTGTGACTCTCTTTGTGATCCTGAAATCCTGCTGCATCCCTAAAAGCTGCTAATGAGTGTTTTACATGAATAAATCATTCCTGAGAGTTTGCAAAAGGCTCTGAAATCCTTTAATCTGAAACTTCCCGGGGCTGTTCCCGGGGACTGGCGTTGCCTCGGGAACTTTGCAGAGTCACCCATTTTTGCAGGAATAATTCCAGTGAGAAATGGGATGAATCATTAAAAAAATTGGAAATAGGAATAAAAATGGGCAATTCAATGATTTTCAGGGAAAGGGGGATGGAGCATGAGCCCTTTTCCTACTGAAATCTCCCAGTATTCCGATTATTTTGGATATATATTTTTTATATATAATGAATTATATATATATAGTTGTATATATAAAATTGCATATATATTTAATATATAATAAATTATATATATAGTTGCATATATAAAATTTTATATATATATATATATATTTTTTTTTATTTTTTTTTTAAACATTTTAAAAAATTAATTATTATTTCCCCAACAGCGGGGAGATGGGAAGAGGGAGGGAGGGAATTTTCCCTGCTCCAAACCTTTTCCGAGGAGGAACCACGAGGCTCTGCTGCGACACCTGAACAGATTTTCTGGAGCACTAAAAATCAGGAGCAGAGAAGCCCCAGTTCCTTCTGGGAGTTTTTGGGGCAGGACCTGGAGCTGCTGGAACCTTGAGAGGATGGAGGAAAGGCTGAAGGAATTATTCTGCCCGCACAGAAATTGGGATTTTACTCCTTTTTTTTTTTTTTTTTCCAAAAATGGGACATTTCTGGCCACCTTCGTTGTGCTTTGAAACGCTTCTTTGAGCGTCACCCCCAATTAAAGGGCCAAGAGCTGCCCCGAGGCTGAAAAAAACTCATTCCGAGCTAATTTTGGGGCCGTTTTACCAAACCCTGCAGCTTTCAGCATCGGAACTGACAAAAACCTCATTCCCGAGCTCATTTTGGGGCAGTTTTACCAAAACCTGCAGCTTTCATCCCCCGGAACGAGATAGGGAAAGTGCCCGGTGTCCCCCGAGCTCTGCCCTTCCCTACAGCCTGCTCCTTGTTTGCTCCTTTACTAGAGCAGCCAATTTTTATTTTATTTTTTTTTCCTCTTTAAATCCCTCTAAATGAGGAGGTGTGACGGGGAGAGCCCCGGGGCAGCGGCTCCGATCCCAAATTTTGCCATCCCAGGTGCTCATTAATGGTTTGCACATCCCTGTGTCATTATCCCCAGCGTGGAATTGGCTTCAGACACCCATGGATTGAGCAATAAAAGCCCTCAAAGATAAACAGATCAGCGCTCAGCTGTTATTCCAGTAATCGGCTCCTAATCAGGTCAGGATTCTTGGCCTTGTAAGGGTTTTTTCTTATTTTATTATTTCCTAAACTTCTTGCATATTGAAGCCCAAGAATGGAATAAATTAAATCCCAGTAATGGAATAAATTAAATCCCAGTAGTGGAATCAATAAAATCCCAATAGTGGAATCAATAAAATCCCAACAGTGGAATAAATTGAGTCCCAAGAGTGGAATAAATGAAATCCCAAGAATGGAATAAATTCAATGCAATAAATTCCATTATAATTAATGGAATAACCTGGATCCAGGGGGAGGCAAATCAGCTCCTTTCCCTGGGTTTCAGGAATCCATTCCCTGGGTTTGCGTTGGGATTTCCTGTCGGTCTCCCAGGAAATCACGGAATCCTTTGGGATGCAAGGGGCCTTAAAACTCACCTCATTCCCCCCTGCCATGGACAGGGACATTCCAGGGACATTCCCACCTTCCCTGGCTGCTCCAGCCTGGCCTTGGACACGTCCACGGATGGAGCATCCATGGGATAACCCCTGCCAGGACCTCCCCAGCCTCCCAGGGAGGAATTCCTTCCCAAAATCCCATCTAAATTTCCTTTCTGTCAGTCTGAACCTTCCCAAAATCCCATCTAAACCCCTCTCCACAGGTCTGATCCCATTCCCCCTTGTCCTGGCACCCCATCCCTTGGGAATTGTCTCTCCCCGTGGTCCTCGAAGCCCTTTCAGGTCCTGCAAGGCCACAGTTGGGTCACTCCAAAGCTTCTCGAGGTGAACATTCCCAGCTCTCCCAGCAGAGCTGCTCCATCCCTCGGATCCATCCTGGAGCCCTCTCTGGGCTCTCTCCAGCAGCTCCAGGTTCTCCCTGGGCTGGACTTAGGGCTGGGGCGGCTCTGCAGGTGAGGTCTCACCTGAGCTGGACCCCCCCCACATCCCCACCTCGTTTTGTTCCCAGTGCTGCTGCATTCAATTGTCACAGGAATCCCAAGCAGCCTTGGACCTGCTCCAGAGGCTCCGTGGGAGGTTATTGTGACACACAAAATGACTTTTTAATGAAAAAAAAATTAATAACCCTGGGTTCTGACGCTGTCAAATGCTGTCTGCCCAGGGAGTAATCAAATTTCAGCTGACGTTCTTGCCCAGGTGACAAAACCATTCCAGTTTTGCATTGTAGCTGCAATATTTCCATGGCTGATGCACTTTGTGTGTCTCAACCATTTAATGAATATTTGGGATTGTCTTTGAAGTTCTTCCTTTCAAGAAGCTGAAGCTTCAGTTGTTCTGCAGACAGACACCTCCGAGGCTTCGGGATGTGGCATGAAGCTAAATGAGAGATGGAGGTTCTGATACTGCTGGGAGGGAACTTCCAGAGAAATGTGCCCTTTTTCTTAATTAAAAAAAATAATTCCTAAAAAAAAATCCTATTTTTAAATTTAAAAAATACTTGTTTTTGAAGTATTGAATTTTTTTTTTTTATATTTAAACATACTCCCTAATAATTTCACTTTGAGTGAAATGTCCTTTTTTTTTATTTAAAAAAATGCTTTCTTAAAAGATTCCTGTCAGTTGTAGAGTCACGGAATGGTTTGGGGTGGAAGGGACCTTAAAGATCACCTTGTCCCAACCCCTTCCATGGGCAGGGCCACCTCCCACTGGGCCAGGTTGCCCAATATCCCATCCAGCCCAGCCTGGAACGGATCACATCCTGGAACCGATCATTTCTTCAGCCTCAACCACCACAGGATGCATTCCCAATTAATTCAGTTCTTCTCTGAACTGAAATCTTCAAATAATTCTAAAAATAAAATGGAATCATTTTATCTCTTCATGGTCAGTTCAATTCTTGTTTTGCTGCAGTCATGATGTGCCAAGCTCTGCTTTAATGAGTAAAATTAAAGATTTCTCTTCTCAAAAATGTTTTGGGGTGGAAAAATTGCAGCTGGAGACTTCCTCCCCTTGGTTAGCCAAAATTAACTGCTCAAATTATCTGAGTTGAACAGAAATGATTGTTGTCTGCACCACCTGAATGAAGCATTTGGGCTTCTGGCTTTGGGGATGGCCATAAATAAACCCAAATTAGGTGTCCCAGCAATTGCAGGGATGCCACCAGCCTGAGTTCCCAATTGCTTCCATTCCTGTCCTACAGCAGCGCTGTCAGGATGTCACCAGAAGCCATCCTGGCCTCCAAACTGTGGTGCCAGGACATAAAACCTGAGCACGTTCCAGCCCTAATTAGGCCAGGGAAGCAACTTGCCCAGTTGCCAGCTGCTGAATGCTTTGTTTCCACTGAGAAACAGAGTTTGGCTCCCTGTTGGAAAAAGGGAAGGAAAAACCACTCCTGGAGACTTTGCAGAAGTTGCTCTGAGGGTCGAGGGGGAATTATTTCCCCTTAAAATGTGAAGTTGACTTGGAAAAACCCCACATTTAAAAAAATCAGATTTGGGTTATTAAATACACTTGGAGATTCCACACAAACTGAAGCTAGCGAAACAATAAACTATAAACCATGAGGTGCTTTCTGGAATAAAATGCTGAATGTTGACTGAAAAACTAAAAAAGCTGGTGCCAGGCTGGGTTTGTGACCTAATTAGGCTCTCACCTAAATCAGGGTTTCATTCTCCATGAGAGATTCAAACCAGACATGAGGCACAATCTGAAAACACAGGGAAAAATAGCTGCAATTACACTTATGCAAAACATGCAAATGCTGTGTGAATCTGGAGCTCCCTGGGATGAGTCTGGCAGGGTTTAATTTGGAAATGGCCACGAGACAGTCCAGGCAGTGACTAAAGTGCCAGACAGAGGAGGAAAAACACATTGATTTCCAAGGAGATCGCCACAAAGGCCTGAATTACCTGAATCAACAATGCTGGCCAGGAGAGGCCTTTGATCTCTAATTAAGTCACATAAAATGAGGTTCCAGCCTGGAATGGGGATGCCAGCAGCAAGGAAACAGGGAAGGAGCACTGCAGCCCCAAATCAAAGGTTGGTGCAGGAGGAAGGGAGTGTTTTCCATGTAGGATGAGCTTGGGAAACGCATCCCAAGAGCAAAGGCTGGCCCTGGGGCTGCCCAGGATGGTATAAAACCCACTCTGAGCGCAGGATCCCTCATTCACCACTCGTGCCTTCTCCTCCTCGGTGACACAGGTGAGCTGCAACCACCTTTGCCTTCCTCTTCTCCTCCTCCTTCGTCTCTTTGCCTTTGCCTTCATCGCTGCTGTGCGGCTCCGCTGAGAACTTTGCTCCCAGACCCTGCTCTCAGCCTCTGCTCAGTGCGAGGAGCTGGGAGAAGCTCTTGGGCTCTTTGCAGGAAGCTGTGGGGATGGGGATCCCGATCCTTTCTTCCTCCCTATATCCTGTCCCTTGTCCCGTCCTCTGCTCCTGCTCCTGCTGAGGCCGAGCCTCACGTTCTGCCGGTGCCTTCTGCAGGTTCTCCTCCAGCCAGAGCCATGTCCTGCTACGACCTGTGCCGGCCCTGCGGCCCCACCCCGCTGGCCAACAGCTGCAACGAGCCCTGTGTCCGGCAGTGCCAGGACTCGCGGGTCATCATCGAGCCGTCCCCCGTGGTGGTCACCCTGCCCGGGCCCATCCTCAGCTCCTTCCCCCAGAACACCGCCGTGGGATCCTCCACCTCCGCCGCCGTGGGCAGCATCCTGAGCGAGTCCGGGGTCCCCATCAACTCGGGGGGCTTTGGGCTCTCGGGGCTCTCTGGCCTTGGTGGCCGCTACTGCGGCCGCAGGTGCCTGCCCTGCTAGAGCCGGGCCGGACGTCCAGCGAGTGCCTCGCCAGGCCAAGCGTGCCCTGGAGCTGCTGGCCAGCGTTTCCAGAGGCTTTGGCCCCGCAGCCCTCCTGCCAAGGAGGGAGGCAAACGTGGCCAGCTGAGGCTTCTGCTTGTCCTGCTTTCTCCTGCGCCTCCCCGGCCCTGCCGGGCCCTGCTCTGCTGGCCCAGGGGCTCAGCCCCAGCCGGCGCAGCGGGGTCCTGCTGCTCCCGCTGGCCCCGTGCCCGGGGCAGGCAGACGTGTGTCCCACCGCTGGCACAGCCAGGGCTGCCTGCCCGGCCCTGCTGCTGGGCCAGCCTGGCCCGGGCCCTGCCCACCCCTGCTTTGTTTCTGTCTTCACACTCAATAAAGTTCACTCTGCATTGGAACTGGCGGCTCCTGGAATTCCTGCCCTGCTGGGATGTGCGGCCCAGCTGCTCCATGGGGGACTGTGATGCCCTGGGCGGGTTTGGGTGGTTAAAGGCCAGGGATGGACCTTTCTCACACCTGGGGAAGGTGAGACCCTCCAAGGCAGTGGCTGCAAGTGCCATGGGGCAGTGGAGGGCGTGTGGCTTTGTGTGGGTGTGCACAGGGTGAGCAGGAGATGCCCCAGGGCGCAGCTGAGCCAGGCTGAGGTTGGGGACGTGCTGAGGGTGGATGTGTAACGTGGACATGGGACAGGGATGGACACACGGGGACCATGATCCCTCCTCTGAGGGAGAGCAGCACTGACGGTGACATGGCCTGGGACTGTATCCAGGCCTAGAAGGGAGCAGTGGAACCATCTTCTCCCCCACCCAAATTGTCCTGTGGTCAGAGGCATTAATTGCTGTGGAGTCATTCCGTGTGCCACCATGTCCGGAAGGGGCCGGAGTCTGGAGCAGACCTGCAGAACTCTGCTGTGCAGACTGGCCTCTTGGCCTTGGAGCTTTTTTCCAGCCTTGAGGACCCTGGGATTCCTCCAGAAGAGTGACCCATGCTCAGTCCATTTCCCCTGCACGAACACCTGGCACAGGACTCACTTTTCTCTTTGCACACCTGCCCTGGGTGCCATGTGTCACCTCAGAACCATGAGCTGTCCCTGTGCCCCAGGCTTTGGATGTTGTGCTTGGATGCAGACAAGAAAACAACCATTTGTAGCTGGAAATGCACAACAAAGGCTTTGGGAAGAGGTCTGTAAATCTGCACAGAGATCTCTTCTGGAAGGTCAATGTTCTGCTTCATCAACTGGAACCCAATGTCCGAACTCTGGAAGGTCAATTTTTGCCTCATAAACTGGAACCCAATGACCAACCTCCCTCCTGGATCAAATGTCCCCTGGAGTACCGCCTGGTTACCCTGTGCACAATCACAAGGCCAATCAATAATAATAATCACTCCCTCCAATCCCACCCAACCCCCCCAGGGCATCACAGCCCCCATGGAGCAGCTGGGCCGAACATCCCAGCAGGGCAGGAATTCCAGGAGCCGCCAGTTCCAATGCAGAGTGAACTTTATTGAGTGTGAAGACAGAAACAAAGCAGGGGTGGGCAGGGCCCGGGCCAGGCTGGCCCAGCAGCAGGGCCGGGCAGGCAGCCCTGGCTGTGCCAGCGGTGGGACACACGTCTGCCTGCCCCGGGCATGGGGCCAGCGGGAGCAGCAGGACCCCGCTGCGCCGGCTGGGGCTGAGCCCCTGGGCCAGCAGAGCAGGGCCCGGCAGGGCCGGGGAGGCGCAGGAGAAAGCAGGACAAGCAGAAGCCTCAGCTGGCCACATTTGCCTCCATCCTTGGCAAGAGGGCTGCGGGGGCCAAAGCCTCTGGAAACGCTGGCCAGCAGCTCCAGGGCACGCTTGGCCTGGCGAGGCACTCGCTGGACGTCCGGCCCGGCTCTAGCAGGGCAGGCACCTGCGGCCGCAGTAGCGGCCACCAAGGCCAGAGAGCCCCGAGAGCCCAAAGCCCCCCGAGTTGATGGGCACTCCCTCCTCGCTCAGGATGCTGCCCACGGCGGCGGAGGTGGAGGATCCCACGGCGGTGTTCTGCGGGAAGGAGCTGAGGATGGGCCCGGGCAGGGTGACCACCACGGGCGAGGGCTGGATGACCACGCGGGAGTCCTGGCACTGCCGGACACAGGGCTCGTTGCAGCTGTTGGCCAGCGGGGTGGGGCCGCAGGGCCGGCACAGGTCGTAGCAGGACATGGCTGTGGCTGGGGGAGAACCTGCAGAGAGAGCAGCCAAAGCACCCACGGGCTGTGAGGCACCCAGGGAGATCCTGCCGGGCAGGACGAAACACAGCCCGGGCACAAGGGACAGCCTGGAGAGGGAGGAAGGCAGCAATTCCACAGCCCTGAGCCCAGAGAGTTCCCTGCAAAGAAATCCCAACATCTCCCACCTGTCCCCAGGACAAAACATCCACAAAAACCTGCTGAGAGCAGCATCAAGGAGAAAGGCTCTCAGAGACCACCAGGGAGAGGCAAAACTTCCATTGAGGGCCAAGGCAGAAGAGAAGAGAAAGGAAAAGAGGGAGGCAAAGGCCCTTTCAGCTCACCTGTGTCACCGAGGAGGAGAAGGCAGGAGAAGTGGATGAGGGATCCTCACTTGCTCTGCCTTTTATACCGTCCCACACAGCCCCGGGCCCGACGCGCCTTTGCACAGGGAACGTATTTACCAACAAGCTCATATTTTATGCAAAACATCCCCAATTAAGTAAACTGGAGGTTGTTTACACTCCCTGCAAGGCTGTCTTTTCATTTCCCTGTGCAGGACGTGCCCATTCAGCCAAACTGGCTCCTTTCAAGTGGCAGCATTAGAGGCCAAAAGGTTTTTAGGGTATTTTTCAGCCAGAACCAGGCTGATGTTGCAGCCAGCTGGGTGGAGTGGTGCCGTATTTCCAGGTGATGTCAGCACCTTCGTCTCCTCAGGCAGCTCTGAGCCTTTGGAGTGATAAATGCAGTTTTTTTATTATAAACCCAGGATTAAAGGGCTGGCTTTGGCTGGGACTGGCCGTAGACATTGCTCCCTGTGACTCCAAGGCCTTTCAAGCCTTCTTAGACATCATTTATTCATCAGAGAGACTACATGGGTTGGTTTTGAACTTTCTTTGGGATCTCATATTGCCTTTAGAAGAAATTGTCTCGTTTCTTCTGCCTTTCACCTCTTTCAGCATCGCCTGGAGTTCTCCAATCAGCAGGACAGGGCATTTCCAGAAGGAAGGACGCTGCTTCCCCAACAACAAATATTAGTCAGGGTCATTAGCTTGCAGAAAACATTCCCTAATGAGAACATCTGACTTCAAAATCCTTCTCCCATTCCCCACGGCCATCCCTCCACTCCTTTTCCCCCCTGCCTCTGAACAGACCCTATGCCCGGTCCCAAACACTCGAGAATATTTCCAAGCAGCACACAGGGAGCATCTGAGGGCTGGCAGTGCCCACAAACACAGCCTGGGGAGCAGCAGGGGCCAGGATGTCCCCAGAGATGCCCGACAAGGGAAGGATTCCATGCTTTGAGCTGCATTTCCTGGGGCAAGAGCAGAGCTGGTGACCGCAGGAGCGGTGACAGCCCTGCCCAGCCACCACTGTGACACCCCTCTTGGCAAAGGGGGCAAAACTCCTGTCCCAGCGAGGCTGGGGCTCCATCAGAGACACAAAAATCTTAAATCCCACAGGTCCAAGCCCTATTCCTCATGCAGGAGGATGAAGGGCGCTCTCAGGTTGACAGGAGAAGTTTTTCCAAACAAACCCATTCAGGACAAAGCCCCAGGTGTGAACAGGGCAGATCTAGCAGAGATTTTCCTTCAAAACACACACATCACGTTTCCATCCAGGCATTTCCATGAAAATCCCTTCGATAGGTAAAACACTGAATGCAACAAAGGCATTTCTAGTCCTCTCTCCATAAAGCCTCCCAACCACCCCATTCCCTCAGGGGTGTCCTGGGGGTGGTGCCTCCCTTCCTTGGTTCCATTTTGACTCTGTGGCTCCAAAGTCCCCTGCTGGCTCATACAGGGATGGGAGGGCATTTCCACAGCAGATAAAGAGACTGAGCAACTTGGCAGGATGGCTTTATTTCAGACATGGAGCCCCAAAGGGAGCAGAGGAGCAGCTTTGGACTGTCAGCAGATGACAGCAAAGCCAGGCACATCCCATCCCCTGGGGAGAACCACGGCACAGAATGCAGGAAAAGAAAATTGGGCACCACTTGACTTTGGCAGTTGCACTGCTGGGCATATGTCCCTTCAACTCATTTGAGACTCCCCCTGCACTCAGGGCTTGGGAGAAGTGCTCAAGGAGGGAAGGCAAAGGCCCAGGGGTACGTGGTAAAACACAACCATGACCTTGGGCAGGTGGGTGGAAATGGCACAGAAACATCGGTCAGTGGCTCGACTCATCAGCTGCAAGCTGTCCAACCTCAGCCTGGCTCAGCTGCGCCCTGGGGCATCTCCTGCTCACCCTGTGCACGCCCACACGAAGCCACACGCCCTCCATTGCCCCATGGCACTTGCAGCCACTGCCTTGGAGGTTCTCACCTTGCCCAGGTGTGAGAAAGGTCCATCCCTGCCCTTTAACCACCCAAACCTCCCCAAGGCATCACAGTCCCCCATGGAGCAGCTGGGCTGCACATCCCAGCAGGGCAGGAATTCCAGGAGCCGCAAGTTCCAATGCAGAGTGAACTTTATTGAGTGTGAAGACAGAAACAAAGCAGGGGTGGGCAGGGCCCGGGCCAGGCTGGCCCAGCAGCAGGGCCGGGCAGGCAGCCCTGGCTGTGCCAGCGGTGGGACACACGTCTGCCTGCCCCGGGCACGGGGCCAGCGGGAGCAGCAGGACCCCGCTGCGCCGGCTGGGGCTGAGCCCCTGGGCCAGCAGAGCAGGGCCCGGCAGGGCCGGGGAGGCGCAGGAGAAAGCAGGACAAGCAGAAGCCTCAGCTGGCCACGTTTGCCTCCCTCCCTCCTTGGCAGGAGGGCTGCGGGGGCCAAAGCCTCTGGAAACGCTGGCCAGCAGCTCCAGGGCACGCTTGGCCTGGCGAGGCACTCGCTGGACGTCCGGCCCGGCTCTAGCAGGGCAGGCACCTGCGGCCGCAGTAGCGGCCACCAAGGCCAGAGAGCCCCGAGAGCCCAAAGCCCCCCGAGTTGATGGGGACCCCGGACTCGCTCAGGATGCTGCCCACGGCGGCGGAGGTGGAGGATCCCACGGCGGTGTTCTGGGGGAAGGAGCTGAGGATGGGCCCGGGCAGGGTGACCACCACGGGGGACGGCTCGATGATGACCCGCGAGTCCTGGCACTGCCGGACACAGGGCTCGTTGCAGCTGTTGGCCAGCGGGGTGGGGCCGCAGGGCCGGCACAGGTCGTAGCAGGACATGGCTGTGGCTGGAGGAGAACCTGCAGAAGGCACAGGCAGAACGTGAGGCTCGGCCTCAGCAGGAGCAGGAGCAGAGGCCGGGACAAGGGACAGGGAATAGGGAGGAAGAAAAGATCGGGATCCCCATCCCCACAGCTTCCTGCAAAGAGCCCAAGAGCTTCTCCCAGCTCCTCGCACTGAGCAGAGGCTGAGAGCAGGGTCTGGGAGCAAAGTTCTCAACGGAGCCACACAGCAGTGGGGCCAGAAATGAAGGCAAGGACAAAGAGAAGAAGGAGAAGGTGAAGCGTGTGGCGAAGGCCCTTGCAGCTCACCTGTGTCACCGAGGAGGAGAAGGCAGGAGAAGTGGATGAGGGATCCTCACTTGCTCTGCCTTTTATACCATCCCACACAGCCCCGGGCCCACGGGCACCCTCGGCACACGGAACGTGTTTACCAAGCTCATCCTGCATGCAAAACATCCCCATTAGAGAAATGGGGACACTGCAATGCTGCTTTTTCATTTCCCTGTGCAGGACGTGCCCAGTCAGCCTCCCAGGCTCCTTTCAAGTGCCAGGATTAGAGGCCAAAACGTGTCTGGGGGCAGTGCCACGTCAGCAGGGCCGGGTGATGCAGCTGGTGCTGGGCACTGTCCTATTTCACTAGGGGACACCAGGCCCTTTGCCCTCCAGGGCCTCACTTTAGGATTGCCAGAATGATCAGGGCATTTTTTCTGGCAGCCCTAAAATAACAAGCCACGCTTAAAAATGTGGTGTTTGTCACAGGAGTCACCTCATCCACTGTGTAACCAAATACTCGACTCCAGCAGAGGTGGGTGTCAACTTCCCTGTCACCTTGGACACTCTGAAGAATCAGGAATTCCACAACCAGATAAATTTACGCACTCTTTGCCCTTCCATGCCTTCGTGGAGAGCCCCCAGCATCCTTGAGTCAACAGGAGGATGCTTGAAAACCAGAAAGTCCACTCCAACACACCCTAACTCTGCTCCCACCAGCTCCACCTAGCTCCAAGTGTCCGTGTTGGACCTTTCCCACTGTTCCTTCTCCATCCCCAAATCTCCCAAACCCTTCTGGGACCCTACACCCAAACTGAGTAGCCGGCGGTGGAAAGAGCCTGCAGAGCTCTCCGAGGAGACATCAAAACACATCAGAAGGACTCATGGTCTGGGAATGTCAGCAGGAAAACACTGGAGGCAAGCAGAAACAAGATCATGGGCTCCTCTTTCATCCTGTCAGCACACTCAGACATGCAGGGTCCACCTGGCCTGGCCTCCTCCCATGGTCAGCACTGAGGGGCTGCCCTTAATGGTCTTTGAGACCTCCATCCCCTGCCCTCCATCCCTGGAATATTGTCTGGTCCCTCCATCCCTGGTATGTTCTCTGGCCTCTCCATTCTTCTGCTCCAGGTGGAGTGAATGTCACTTCTTGTGTTTGGACAATGCTCTCAGGCACAGGGTGGGACTTTGGGGTGTCTCTGCAGGGCCAGGAGATGGATTTGATGATTTCTGGGTCCCTTCCAATCTGGATATTCCACAGTTCTATGATTCTCGGAATGACAGGGAGTAGAATACATGGGAGGAAGCAGGAGCACCTTGTCCTCCTCTGCCTCACAACCCACATGACAACTCAACACCCCAGTGATGTTCTGCCTGTGCCCAACGTGTCCCTGTGACCTCCTGAGCCCTCCAGGAGGGACAGGAGGGCACAGGGAATGCTGTGGTGGCAGAAGTGAAGGGTGACAACTCCTTGGGATTCTGTTGCATGAAGGACATTGTCATAGTTGAGATGGTCACAACACAGAGCAGCACAGTCCATTTTCAAAAGGCTTCAAACTGGTTTTATTATTTTTTCATGCTTTTTATACATTCTTACAAAGCCCATTAATTTACACTTCAGTCATTGGTCAGGAAAGACAAACAAAGTTCTCATTGGAACAGGCAGCTGCAGGTTTCTCTTACTTCTCCTTCTTTCTTTTTTGGTTTCTGTGTCAACGACCTTGGTAGGAAATTATTTCAGGGGTAAACACGGGTCCACCTCTCAAACTTCTCTCTGGCTCACAGAAGTTGCTGTAAAACCTCTCCCCCAGGAACACCATGGAAGATGTCCCAGGAAACATTTTTCTACTGAGTGATGCAAGACATGGACCAGGGAGGACATTATGGGGTGTCCATCCTTGGACAGATTGAGAGAAGCTGTTGGCATTTAAAGCAATTCCCTCCAGGCTGTCCCACCTGAGCAAGGGGTGGGATACATGACATCTGAAAGTGGATTCCAACCCCAAAAACTGTGATTTTGTGACCTCCCTCACAGAGCAGCTTTAGCTGGTGATCCCAAAACCAAAACAAGTCCAGGAGCCGCCAGTTCCAATGCAGAGTGAACTTTATTGAGTGTGAAGACAGAAACAAAGCAGGGGTGGGCAGGGCCCGGGCCAGGCTGGCCCAGCAGCAGGGCCGGGCAGGCAGCCCTGGCTGTGCCAGCGGTGGGACACACGTCTGCCTGCCCCGGGCACGGGGCCAGCGGGAGCAGCAGGACCCCGCTGCGCCGGCTGGGGCTGAGCCCCTGGGCCAGCAGAGCAGGGCCCGGCAGGGCCGGGGAGGCGCAGGAGAAAGCAGGACAAGCAGAAGCCTCAGCTGGCCACGTTTGCCTCCCTCCTTGGCAGGAGGGCTGCGGGGGCCAAAGCCTCTGGAAACGCTGGCCAGCAGCTCCAGGGCACGCTTGGCCTGGCGAGGCACTCGCTGGACGTCCGGCCCGGCTCTAGCAGGGCAGGCACCTGCGGCCGCAGTAGCGGCCACCAAGGCCAGAGAGCCCCGAGAGCCCAAAGCCCCCCGAGTTGATGGGGACCCCGGACTCGCTCAGGATGCTGCCCACGGCGGCGGAGGTGGAGGATCCCACGGCGGTGTTCTGGGGGAAGGAGCTGAGGATGGGCCCGGGCAGGGTGACCACCACGGGCGAGGGCTGGATGACCACGCGGGAGTCCTGGCACTGCCGGACACAGGGCTCGTTGCAGCTGTTGGCCAGCGGGGTGGGGCCGCAGGGCCGGCACAGGTCGTAGCAGGACATGGCTGTGGCTGGGGGAGAACCTGCAGAGAGAGCAGCCAAAGCACCCACGGGCTGTGAGGCACCCAGGGAGATGTGCTGGGCAGGAGAAAAAGCAGAGTCTGGGCAGAAGGGACAGCATGGAGAGAGAGATAGAAAGGACAAGGAATTGCAGACCTCAAGAGGTCCCTAAAATCACAGACAAGACCTTCTCCCACCTCCCTCCTGTGTGGCACAGAGAATGGAGACGATCTGCGACTGCCCCAGCAAAAGATAAATAACTGAGGTGGAGCCCCAGTAGGAGCCAGAAGAGACAGAGGAAAAGAAATGGAAACGGAGGATAGCACTCACCTGTGTCACCAAGGAGGAGAAGACAGGAGAAGTGGATGAGGGATCCTGCACTTGCTCTGCCTTTTATACCGTCCCACACAGCCCCGGGCCCAGGGACAGTCTTTGCACAGAGAATGTGTTTACCAAGCTCATCTCGCATGCAAAACATCCCAATTACAAAAATTAGTGTTTTTATTTTTGCCCTGCAAAGCTGCCTTTTCATTTCCCTGTGCAGGACGTGCCCAGTCAGCCTCCCAGGCTCCTTTCAAGAGTCAGGATTAGAGGCCAAAATATTTCCAGGGAAAAATGATTTGTCAGCAGGGCCAGGTGATGCAGCCAGGGCTGAGGAGCGTCCCACTGACCATCTGGCCCTCCAGGGCAGGACTGTGAAGTGCAGAGGCAGCCCCATGTCCCCTGCTGGACGTCAGCACCACGGGGCCGGACTGGGGCCGGTCCCTCACCTGAAGGGGTTCCTGAGGTTGGAAAAGCTCTCCCAGAACATCAAGTCCCACCTGGGACTGATCCCCGCTTTGTCACACAGACTAGAGCACGGAGTGCCATGGCCAGTATCCCACTGGACATCTCCAGGGATGGCGACTCCAAACCCCCCTGGGCAGCCCCTGCCGAAGCCAGAGGAATGGTGCCCAGCCCAGAGAGGGACAGAGGTGAGGTACAGAGCTGACCCTCACAGGGAACGGCCAGGCTGGAGCCTCAGGGTCCTGAGGAGCTCAGCCCCATCATCAGGAAACACTTTAAAGTCCTGCCCTGGAGGGCCAGGGCAGGAATTATTTGGGATGTTGGACACTCCTCAGCACTGGCTGCATCACCCGGCCCTGCTGACGTGGCACTGCCCCCAGACACATTTTGGCCTCTAATCCTGGCACTTGAAAGGAGCCTGGGAGGCTGACTGGGCACGTCCTGCACAGGGAAATGAAAAAGCAGCATTGCAGTGTCCCCATTTCTCTAATGGGGATGTTTTGCATGCAGGATGAGCTTGGTAAACACGTTCCGTGTGCCGAGGGTGCCCGTGGGCCCAGGGCTGTGTGGGACGGTATAAAAGGCAGAGCAAGTGAGGATCCCTCATCCACTTCTCCTGCCTTCTCCTCCTCGGTGACACAGGTGAGCTGCAAGGGTCTTCGCCTCCCTCTTTTCCTTTCTCTTCTCTTCTGCCTTGGCCCTCAATGGAAGCTTTGCCTCTCCCTGGTGGTCTCTGAGAGCCTTTCTCCTTGATGCTGCTCTCAGCAGGTTTTTGTGGATGTTTTTTCCTGGGGACAGGTGGGAGATGTTGGGATTTCTTTGTGGGGAACTCTTTGGGCTCAGGGCTGTGGAATTGCTGCCTTCCTCCCTCTCCAGGCTGTCCCTTGTGCCCGGGCTGTGTTTCGTCCTGCCCGGCAGCATCTCCCTGGGTGCCTCACAGCCCGTGGGTGCTTTGGCTGCTCTCTCTGCAGGTTCTCCTCCAGCCACAGCCATGTCCTGCTACGACCTGTGCCGGCCCTGCGGCCCCACCCCGCTGGCCAACAGCTGCAACGAGCCCTGTGTCCGGCAGTGCCAGGACTCCCGCGTGGTCATCCAGCCCTCGCCCGTGGTGGTCACCCTGCCCGGGCCCATCCTCAGCTCCTTCCCCCAGAACACCGCCGTGGGATCCTCCACCTCCGCCGCCGTGGGCAGCATCCTGAGCGAGGAGGGAGTGCCCATCAACTCGGGGGGCTTTGGGCTCTCGGGGCTCTCTGGCCTTGGTGGCCGCTACTGCGGCCGCAGGTGCCTGCCCTGCTAGAGCCGGGCCGGACGTCCAGCGAGTGCCTCGCCAGGCCAAGCGTGCCCTGGAGCTGCTGGCCAGCGTTTCCAGAGGCTTTGGCCCCCGCAGCCCTCCTGCCAAGGAGGGAGGGAGGGAGGTGCTGTCTGGACTCGTGGCCAGCCTGTTTCAGCCTTGAAAACCCTGCTTTTGAAGAGTTTCCTTGTCTCTGATTTTGCATTTCACAGTGGTTTAATGCTGTGATTGCCACCACTCAGTGGAGGTTTTTTTTTTCAGGAATTAAGGAAAGGTGGAGTCTTGCTTTCTGTCTCTCATTCAGAATGGTTTCTTTTCCCTTCACAAATATATATTTTTCCTTTTTTTTTTCTGAATGCTACTTGACTGTTTATCATTAAACTGATGTTGCATCCGATTTTGAGTTTCATTGTGGTTTTTCTCTCCTTTTTACCTCCCCTTGGGGCAGAATTATGTGAAAATCTATGCAAAGATTTCACAGAGATAAATGTGCATCCAAAAGCCACCACAACTCATCTGATAAAAGTAATTTAATTGATTTTTGCACTCTTGAGAAGCACTGAACAGGTTCTCAACTCTATTTCTCTTTCTAGGATGTTTCTCCCCATTTTTAAAATCCCACCTCTGTATTTAAAAGTACAATTGTGGTGTTTAAGCTTGAGAGATTTTAGATCTCTTTCCCTATTTGGCATCTTTGAAACTCTTTAGAATTTGAATGAATATTAATATGGCAGAAGCAACACTTACCATTGTGGCAACCAAAAGAGACCTAAGAAAGATAAAGCCATGAAATAAAATCTATTTGAAAATGAAATAATCCTGGAACTGAGATATAAATATTTGAGGAGCTGGAGGGGAGGCTCCTGGCATTCAGGTCCAAATGTCCACAGAAAGGCAAAAAAGGTGGGGTTTTCTAGTCAAACATTTTATGTTTTGTTAAAAGATTAATAAAATATATTTACTTGGAAATTAACAAATTTGGGAGGAGAAGAGTTCAGCAAAAAGATGGGATAGAATCCTAAAATATTGTCATTGGAAAGGACCCTCAAGGGTCATCCAATCCAGCTCCTGGTCCCGCACAGTCACCTCAAAATCCAAAAACATCCCTGGGAGCATTTCCCAAATGCTCCTGGAGCAGCCCTGGGACCGTGTCCATTCCCTGGGGGGCCTGGGCAGTGCCCAGCCAACTCTGGGGGAAGAATTTTCCACCAAAATCCAGCCCAAACTCCCTGGCACAGTTCCAGCCATTCCCTGGTCACAGGGAGCAGAGGAACTCTGCTTGGGACCGTTTCCATCCATGGCTCGAGGCAGCAACGCCAAAAAATAAAATCTGGGGAATGAAAATGTCCCAGAGTGAGAGGAATCTGGGCTGGAAAAGAGTTTTCTATGGGCGAGTTTTCCAAACAATTAATCAGAGGGACTGGTGGGATGAGTTATTCCCTGGGATTCACGAGGAATGCAAGGGCGGCGGCGTTCCGCGCGGCAGAACCGCTGCAGTTGTATTTATGATCAGATTATTTTTGCTAGTTTTTTAAATATAAAAATGACCTCATGGTCATCTTAAGAGACACCCCAGATACGGCACTTGCTGATAAAAATGTAACACGTAAGGTTTCTGTACTATAACAATTTTATTATGGTGTGAACTTAATGCAATACCAATTAAAAGGTATGGGGCTTAAAAGCCAGGTTAAATCTGGTTTTTGAAACATATGTAAGGGATTTGAAAATATATTCTGTATCTGCCACCAACAGACCATTTAATCTATTTAATCGATTCAATAATTTTAATAGATTTAATTAATTTAATCTATTAATCTCATGATGCAAATAGACACAGAGCATGAGGGGTGGAGGAGGGGAATTTGGGAGAGTGAAGAGTCTGGGTAAGGCGAAATAAATCCCAAAAATTTACCCTTGCTGACCTAAAGGGATAAAAAGGGAAAAGAAGTCATGTTCCGGAACCTTCCCAGCCCAGCACAGCAGGGGGGTTGTGCAGGATGTGGACATTTTCATTAAATTTCCAGCCCAGTTCAATTTCAAGCAGAATTTTGTACCTTTAAGGATCTGATCCATCACCTGGAATGATTGACATCACTGGAGAGACAATTTCTGAAGAACGCAAATGTGGTTTGGAAGTCGCGTTCCCTTTGTGTGTTCCGGTGGAAAAATGGGTGCGATAACTCTCTAGATATTTTTAACTTTATGGGGTTTTTGAAGCCTATTTTTTTTGCATTAATTAGTTCCCACACATATTTTTGCAAGTAGAACCTTTTCTTGATAAAGGAATTATCCTGCTTTTGTTTCCCAGTCTAGGTTTAGGCTGGCATTGCATGAGAAGCATCATCCACCCATTAAAAATTCTTTCATCTTCCCAATTTATGGGTCCTTTTAATTTCTGGTATTTTTAGACTGACTCTAATAATGTCAAGGTGAAATTACTTCAAGCACAATGTAATAAAGACAATTTTTTTCCCCAGCTTCTCAGCAATTTGTTCACTTGTGGCTGCCTTGGGATCCAAGATCAAATCCAAGAGGAGCCAAAACTCTTTGTGTGCCATTCCCAGTCTGACCCAGTTACAAATAATTGTCAATTAAAATGTTCACATCTCCCAAAAAACAAAACCTCTGAGGACCTTTCCAAGCTTGGAGAAGCTTTGGGGTGACCTAATTGCAGCCTCCCAGGACCTGAAGGAGCCAACAAGAAACATGGGGAGAGAATTTCCAAGGGCCTGGAGTGACAGGATAAGGAGGAAAAGGGATGAAACTGAAAGAGGGGAAATTTAGGTTGGATTTGGGAAGGAATTCTCCCTGTGGGGGTGGTAAGCCCCTGGCACAGGTGGTTCCATGGATTCCCCACCTCTGGAAGTGTCCCAGGACAGGTTGGACGAGGCTTGGAGCAACCTGGGATCATGGGAGGTGTCCCTGCACATGGATTGGCACAGGATGAGCTTTGAGGTCCCTTCCCACCCAAACCATTCCATGATTCCATGATTCTGACTGGGGTTTGTGAGCTGAGGTGGAACAGGAGGGGTTTAGAGGTTCCCTTTGTAAAAGAATTGACAAATCAGGATTAAATGTCCCCTTGTTCTTCCAGCTGTGCCTTAAATTGCGTTACCCAGATTTAATACCATAAAACCATCTGAATTTGATGTGATAAAGTGGTAATTTGTCTCTGAATGCCACAATTCTGGCACTTCCTGCCTGGGCTCTGTGGGATTTCAGGGCTGGATGTGCTCTTTAGGCAGGGCCTTGCCCAAACCCAGAACTGAGATTGTTCCGACGCCCAGCTGAAGGCAGAGCCTGGTGAGCATCACTTGAGACAGGAGTTTATTAAGGATTTACATTCAAACCCTTAATAAAAGAACGCCTTGGAATGATGAATTATGTATTATAGAAATTCTTAGTATTTTTCTTTATGACTAAAGTAAAGTATGACAAGCATACTCTGGAGTCTGGATTTTGTTGTGACTGAAAGGTGGCCCTGGAATAAATTTGGTCCCTAATTCCTGAGATGAGAGAAACCTGCAGGACGGAATCGGTCTGTCAGAAGATAAGGAGGAAATAAAAACAAAGTAAATAAGCAGTGAGGAAAAGAACATTTAATCAGGTGGAACATTTGGCATTCAGGACATACTCGTTGGGAATTAATTCCAGGTACAAAGGCTGTCTGTGGTCCCCAGGCCATCAGAGCTGAGGTATAAAAACCAACTCAACCCAACTCCTTCCTTCTTCTTCCCTCTTTCCTCTTTTGTGAGCAAGGTTAGTTCAATTTCACTTCTCTTTCTCTGTTTGCTGAGGTCTTGCCTTTTAATAATATGGGGTTTTTTTTCCCACAGTGTTCTGCTGCTTGCTGGATTCTCTTTTTTCTTGAGGGGGGGGAGACTTTTTCTGTTTAAAAACTTGGGGTTTGCCGTTGGAATCGTATAATTTCTGGAGTCCTGACTTGGAAATAGAGAGCCTTGAAATGGTGATAGAAATTTATTCAAACGTGGGATTTCAGACATGTTAAATGACAGAAAATATTAGAACTAATAAAGATTAACGAATTGCATAGGTGGAATAACTCTGCAAGGGGTTGGAACTCTATGAACTTTAAAGGTCCTTTTAAACTCCAACTATTTATTAAAACAGAAAATCCAGGAGCTCAGTTATATTTCAGCAGCATTTTATATCTTGGAGGGTCTTTTCCATCCTGGAATGTCAGTTGGGTCACCAAGTGTGGAAATTTTGTTGCAGAGTGCAAAGACATCTCCTGGAATGTTGGGAAGTGGGATCAGGGATTGTGGGGATGAAGGAAAAGAAGGGCAAAAACCAGAGCAGAGCTGAGCACCCCCTAGGAATCAGAGAATTTTGGTTTTATTGTTGTGGTGCATATAAGACCCAGGAGCGTGCATGGAATTCCTGCCTTTTCTCACATCCATGGACGAGTTGTCTGGGAAAGATTTCAAAGACCTCTTCTTCAAGGCTGCTTAATGACGTTGAAATTTGTCATTGAAATTTGTACCTCTTTGTAGGCAAAGTTGGAGCCTTGGAACGAATCCTCCCTTTCATTTTTCCAGCTGCCCGTGGACCTCTCTCCACAGGTACATTTGTGGTTGGGTTTCACTCCTAATTGCTGCTCCCTCAACGCTCTGGGTGCACGGAGCTGGGCATCTCCAGACGTGCAATCAAAATCCTACAATTAAATTAATGACACAGGTTTGTTTCTTTTGTTCTGCTGCCAGTTCTCCCCCTCATCACCGACAGCCCAGAGGATATTTCAGCCCCTGTCTCTCTTTATTTAAGAGTTTGGTTTCCTCCTCAGCTTCTAATAAAAGGCTCCTTGGAAAGTCGCTGTCCCGATAACTGAACTAAAAAGAGTGAATGAACAGAGCTGAGTAAATGCAGGTGCGACACGGCTCCTGCCTTGCCTCAGCTGTGCTCCTGTATTCCAGACCTCATCCCGAGCCATGTCCTGCTACGAGCGATGTCTCCCCACGTCCTGTGGCCCCACGCCGCTGGCCAACAGCTGCAACGAGCCCTGTGTCCGGCAGTGCCAGGACTCCACCGTGGTCATCCAGCCCTCGCCCGTGGTGGTCACCCTGCCCGGGCCCATCCTCAGCTCCTTCCCCCAGAACACCACCGTGGGATCCTCGGCCTCCGCGGCCGTCGGGAGCGCTCTGAGCGCCGAGGGCGTCCCCATCTCCTCGGGCAGCTCCTTGGGCTTTGGGGGCTTTGGCTACCCCGGGCTGGGCAGTGGCTACAGCCGGCCCTACCGGCGCTACAACGCGTCCCGCAGCGGCTTCTACGGGCCCTGCTAAGGCGGGAGGAGAAGACCGGGAATGCTGAACCCCAACCCGTCCCTGGAGCAGGACTGAGCTCACGGTGTCCAAAATGGGGTCAGAACCCCACAGCTCCGCCTGAATGGAGTCCATCAGCCCCTGGAATGAGGCCACTGCTCCTGTGTTACTCCTGGGTGTTTCTGGTGCTGTTTGTAGCTCTGCTGATCGGTGTATTTGGTACTACCCGGTGTAAAGTTCTAAATTTAAGTATGAGGCGGGACGTGGTTCTCAGGGCGCGCTGGAAGAAGAGCTCTGCCTTGGGAACGCGTCCCCCTGAGCTGAGCCTTTCCCCCCACACCGACCCCTGGTGCTTTGCAGGGCTTTAATCCTCTCGTTAGGATTAATAAAATGATGCTTTTATCATAATCTCCTGTGTCTCCTACTGGTTTTTCCCTCCCTTCCTGTTCTTGTTTGAAACTTTTTCAGTTTCATTTTTTTAGGTGAAAAAATGGAATTAGTAGAATTAGTAGATCATCAATAATCTGGGGGAGTTGGGAATGTTGGGAATGTCGGGAATGTTCAGCCTGGAGTGTGGAGAACTCAGAGCACCTCCAGGATCTGATTTAGATTTACAACAGCCACTGTAGGCACTAAACCAGTCCATTTTGGGGGGAAAAAAGGAAGAAATACACTTGCTGGGAATTTTTGGGGCATTCCAAAAACCCAGTTATGCAAACAATGTCTGCAGCAGGTGGAGTTGTCCCCAGGACTTAAACTGCTCATGGTTATGTCGCAGCCTGGCGTGAGATGAAAGACCTCCCTCAAAGCTTCCTTAATCTCCGGGAACCAGCGTTCATTTCAATCCTTTGTTCCATCACACCCATGGCTCTGGAGCCAACACAACACTACAAATTTCAGTTCACGCAGTAATTTGTCAACTCTTTGGTGCCTCACCTGTCCCGGGAGCTCCAAAGGCGTTAATTGAGTGTGGAGAGGGAGAAACTCCACCAGCCTGAGTTGGTGTGTCCTGGCTCCCCATCCAAGGGCTCCAAACCGCTTGGATGAACTCCGGGTGTTAATTAGGGAGCTGGAATTCCTGCCAGGCTGTTAATGAGGCTCTTCCCAAAATGGGATCTCCCCTCCAAGAGCAGCAGTTTCTGTGCCTGGAGGGGAGGATGAGGAGGAAGAAGCCTTCCTGGGTTATCTCAGTTTTACCCATGAAAAGGAAGCAAATTTTTCTTGGGAGTGATCCCTACTAGAAGGAATGGATTTTGTAACATATCAGAAAAGATTCTGGGCTGTTGGGTTGTAGAGATTTTGAGGAGAGGGGGGAGAAAGACTCTCCTTTTATAGCAAACCTTTAGTAGAAAAACCTTTTTGTAGAAAAGACTCTAAAAAAGAAGATAAGCTTCTTGTGGAGAGAATAGGAGGAGTTAAAAGATTTTAAGGAGATGGAGATTTGGCTTAATTTTTAAAAAATATCAATTATAGAAAGGTTTAATAAAATAACTAAAGTTCCTGAAGGTGTTTAGCTTTGTGCACACATTGTGGTCTATTGTGGTTGGTTGAATGACATTTGCTTTGCTTAGACAGAATGTAACTGATAAAGAGCTAATTCCTTAAAATGCCTGGTTTTTGTGATAAATGGCTAATTCCTTAAAAAGGCCTGGTTTTTGTGATTTGCAGCTGCCTGGGGACTCCATGACAGGGTTTAATTTCCTCCCTGTGTCCTGGAGCTCCCTCCATCCCAAGAAATGTCTTCCTACAATTTGTGAGCCCCCACATCCTGTAGAAATCGGGTTTCTCATGAAAAAGAAATGTGTTGTGCATGGGGTTTATCCCGATTATTCCTGGCAAATCCTGGCTCCCAGGGGATGGCTCAGAGTCCCAAATTCACCAGCCTTGGTGGCACCAAATGTTGTTCTGTGAGGAAGGTGGAGCTGGCACCCAGGACAGAGCTAATTGCACTCATCCAATTTGAAACGTAATTAAAATCTGTGTTTGAAACCTCACGAAAAACAGGTCTGAAAAACAAACAAAACCCTCCCGTTCTGGGTGTGTTGTTTTGCAGAGCTTCTGATGAGTAAATAATTTCTCCCCTCGAGTGTGAATTAATTTCTGGAGTTGTTTTCTGCTGTTCCCAGCAGAATTCCAGCTGAGAATTCCACACTACCCCGGCTCCCTGCAGGAATTCTCTGCAGATCCATCCAGGAGTGAGTGACATGAATTCTTGGACAAAACCAGAAATCATAACAGAAATTATTGAAGTTTATTCGCCTCGAGTAAGATGCCAAAGCAAACCTCGAAACTGAGTGATTTTAAAGTTGTTCCTGACAGAATCTGAATAAAATTAACAATGAAACGAGCTCCAGTTGGGTGTGAAAATGGAGGATTTCACATCTCCCTGTGCCTTCAGGGGGGTTCTTTGAGGAGAGGTGAGGTCCCAGGCTCTGCCTACCCCAAAAACCATCTCAGATCACACATTCCACAGCTTTGTCTGCCTGGGCCGGGCAGCAAATTCCAGCCGGGAATGTGGTGTGGCTGCAAAAACCCCAATTCCAGGCAGATGTGGCCAGAGGGGCTAAATTAAACACCTTAAACTGCAGGAACACCTTCATGTTCAAACAATTCCCAACCCAGGGTGTTCTGGACAGGCTGGAGAGGTGGGACTGGGCCAAGCCCAAGGATGAAGTCCCAAACCCAGGTCGGGGCAACCCCCAGAATCCAGAGAGGGGATTCTGCTCCTCTGGGCAGATTCCACCTGGAATTCCAGTTCTGGAATTGTGTCCAGCTCTGGAATTGTGTCCAGTTCTGGAATCGTGTCCAGTTCTGGAATCGTGTCCAGTTCAGGAATTGTGTCCAGTTCTGGAACTGGCCTGGATTATGGTGGGAACCTCCAATGGCTCCATAAAGTCCTCATGAGCCCAGTCCAGAATTACTGAGAGAAAAGCAAAACTCAGCACAGGAGATGCAAGAATTTAACAGAAGCTCCAAGCCTTTGAGGAACTAATTCTTCATAATGAGCTAATTAATTACAATTCAAAACGAATTGCAGATGCCACTCTGGCCAGGGAAATTCCCTCTGCTTCTCCATGGATTTTGGGGTCACTACTGTGCCTGGAGACTTTACCCAGGGATGACTGTGAGAAACCTCCCAGTTCCATTTTGATTAAAGATCACTTTTTTCAGACGTTCAGTCGCTCACAGGTGTCTCAGGGGGATATTCTCACATTATGCAAAAAAGTCTTAATTACAATCTGAATATTTAGGTCTGGCCTTGATGACAAAAATCTGTGAACTCTTAATTTGCTCAATTTAATTCATCTCAAAATCAGGCCATTAAGTCATTCTGAGAGTACAATAAAATAAAGGCTTTAGTTGGAACAATATTTATTGTAATTGCTTACAAGGAAGTCTCCAAACAGATTTGAAATGTTGCCAGATCTGTTTTTAAATTCATAGCTGGATTTGAAATGTGTTTTGTGTTTTCCAAGCAAGGCTTGGTTGAAGGAGGAATAAAGAGAATGAAGAAAAATTTAAAAAATATTGAAAGAAACTGTGGATGGCGTTAGGCAAGTTAGTTCCTCAACTAACTCTTAGAGAGGAAATATTTTTTTAAAACAGCTGCTAATTCCTTAAAATACAGAGAAATTTTGAGGAACGCACAGCTAAAAACAGCCAAGGATTTTTTTTTTTTTGAGAATCCTCTTGAAATACGGGATGGCTCGAGATGAACCTTGAGCTTCCCTTTTTGATTTAAAATAAAGCAGCTGTAATTCCTGCAGATAGCAACAATGACATCAATTTCACAGCCCAATTACTGCCCTGCACCCCCAAATATTTGTAACGTATTATTAAATAAAATACAAGAATTCAGATCTAGGTCAGGGATCTGAAATGTGCCCGGGATGGGACATTTGCATGGTGGCACTCCAATAAAGCTGCTGATAAACTTTGAAGTTCTCAGGAAGCTCTGTCCAAACCAAACAAGTTTCTGTTCCCAGGGGATCCCCACAGAGACAGCCCTAATTTAAATGTGATTTGCATGTCTCAGGAGTGGATGCGCCAGCAGAGTGAGAACCTCGGGGTTAATCCCTTCATCCAGGACTGCTCATGGATTTGGGGTTGGAAAAGAGCTCCAGGATCATCAGTCCCAACATGTGATTGATCCCTTGATGTCCCCTGGTTCCTGGGACACCTCCAGGTGTGGGGACTCCAAACCTCCCTGGGCAGCCTCTTCCATGGAAAAATTCCTTCTTCTTTTTCCAGAGAGCCTCTCCATGCCTGGAGGTGTCCGAGGAATGAGTGGATGTTGGGCTGGTGACCGGGTTGGGGTTGGGAACACCTTGGACTCGATGGTCCTGGAGGGCCACTCCAACCTCAAGGACCCTGTGGAAAGCAGCTGGAAATACTCATGGCTCGCCTTCCAAAACCTGCAGTTCTCCACCAATTCCCCCAGGATTTACCTCGCAGAGGAGGGTGCTGCATCATGCAAATGAGGCCTAATCTCCTTTAATGACACCAAGCAGATCCCAAAGGGGTTTGAAGGCTGAATAAATCCCGCTGAATAACCACTGCAACAACGAACCCGGCCCAGAATATTTTAAGATGAAAGCAACCTGTGGTCAGATACAAACCACAAGATAAGGAAGTGAAGCAGTAAAAAACACAAATACTGGGGCAAAAACCCCTGTAATCAGTTGTGGCCCACAAATCACTTCTTGCAAAAGAGTGGCCCAAGTGGTTGGGCAACTCAAAACTCGGTATAAAACCTGAGCAACTCCAGGCTCTCCAAGCCATTTCTCTTCCCTCTTTTGCCATCGTGAGTAAGGTGAGTTTGAACCAATTTATTCTCTTTCTACAGCAAACTTCTGCCTTGATTTTGTAGCTTTTCCTTCACTCCTATTATAGTATTTTTTTTTGTCAGAGGGAGGAAGGGGTTTTATACCAAAGAGGGAGTTTTGTGTAGGTGGCGAATTATAAAAATCATTAGCCACGTTAGGTAAATGGCTATGTGTTATTTATTAAATGAGTTATTTATTCAGTTTTGGGATCCAAGGAAGTTTTAAGGTTGTGCAGCTGCACTTTAATATCAGCAGTGAATTCTTGGGCCTGTTCAGTCGCGTGATCACATCCCACCACAGCCCAAGTGGCGAATTCACCTAAGGTCAGACCGCGAGCAGCACTAAAAACCTGACTTCCCTCTCAATTCCCAATGCTGAATGGACCCCTGGAAAGCTGCTGATAAATGTGGGTGTAACCCAACTCCTGTATTCCAGAATTCCCTCCGGCCACAGCCATGTCCTGCTACGACCTCTGTGCCCCCACGTCCTGCGGCCCCACCCCGCTGGCCAACAGCTGCAACGAGCCCTGTGTCCGGCAGTGCCAGGACTCCACCGTGGTCATCCAGCCCTCGCCCGTGGTGGTCACCCTGCCCGGGCCCATCCTCAGCTCCTTCCCCCAGAACACCACCGTGGGATCCTCGGCCTCCGCGGCCGTCGGGAGCGCTCTGAGTGCCGGCGGCGTCCCCATCAACTCGGGCAGCTCCTTGGGCTTTGGGGGCTTTGGCTACCCCGGGCTGGGCAGTGGCTACAGCCGGCCCTACCGGCGCTACAACGCGTCCCGCAGCGGCTTCTACGGGCCCTGCTAAGGCGGGAGGAGAAGACCGGGAATGCTGAACCCCGACCTGTCCCTGGAGCAGGACTGAGCTCACGGCCACGGTTTTTGGATGCCTCATGAGATATCCCCAGCCTGGAGTAAAAGGAGCTGTGGGAGTTCGGCATCTCGCCAAACCAGGCCTTTGCTTGTCTTTTGTTGTGCTTTACTTCATATTTCTGATCAAATGTCTTGTCCTGCTTTTTTGTTTTGTTGGTTTTTCTTTTTTTTTTTTGTATTTGATAATAGGCAAAATATTAATTGTTGGAAATTGTTGTGCATGGCTGGATTGGCACAGGTCATTCATCAATGAAGAAGGAAGATTTCCACTTGCTGAGAATGTCGCTGTGAGAGGGATGAGTGGGTTCTGTCCTTACTGGATCATGGAAAAGTATTCCTGACTTTTTCATTGCTTCCTTCCCTTCCTAAACCCATTAAATTCGTGCTGCATCACCTTCCGAGTCTGCCTGGCCTTCTTTGCTCTCCCAACCCCTTTTCCAGTGCCTTTGGATGTCCCCACTTCCAGAAAACATAATTTCAAAGGAGAATGAGTCAGATTCCAGTGATGGAAAACTTTTATATCCGAGCCTGAAACCCCTTATCAAAGGCAGAAAGGGACCCTGCAATGGGTGCCTCCTACTGGGGCATAAACAGGGAATTTTTAAAGATGTGATACTTGGGAAAAGCCTTTTAAAAGAAGGGAGCTCAGCTGAGGTTCCTCAGGGAAATGTGGAGGGAGAGAAGCAGCAATTGGGGCACCCTGTTTTGGGTGCAGCATCTCTGGGCAGCTGAGCTCAGCCCCTGGTGGGTCTGGGAGGGAGGCACAGAATGATGGGAAGGGTTTCTCCCTTTGGAATTTGCTGAGTTGGGAAGCAAGTCTGGGACAGAGAGATTAAAGGACTAAAATTTAAAGAGTTTTTCGTTCCAGCCCTCTATTAGGGCATTTTAAGCCAGAGCTGAGCTTATCAGGCACGGCTTTGCTCCTCCTGGATTGGGATGAAGGAGCTGTTTAGACATCCTGAAGAAAGAAGGCTTGGAAAGGTTCCCCTGAAGGCTCCGGATGACTCAGCCTCCTGTCAGCCCGTAAAACTCCTGATATATCCAAAAAGTCTCGCTTGGAGTCTTTGTCTGCCTGTCCAGGATGAGGCTGAACTGTAATTAAAGGTGCTGATGAGGCTCTGCCGACTGCAGTCATTAGTGAAATGAAATTAAAGGAGGCAAATGAAAGAATTAATAATTTTAAGTAGGAGGGTTTTTTTTTTTTTAATAAACACCAGAAGACAGTGGAAAGCTGGTGGTTTGATGTTCTATTACAGAGGAGCTTGGTCTGGATTAAATGTTTAATTTAATATTTTTTGCCATCTCAACTGAAGCAATTCCTTGATCAAAGGTGATGAATTCCAAAAAGTCCAATGGCTCCAAAGGGTTGAGGCACTGCTGAGAAGGTGCCTTGGACAGATTCAGGTGGATATTTCTCAAAAGAAAATTAATTTCCTTATCCTTGCAGTTCCCTTTTCATTAATTGAACCAAATCCCTTCCCAGATTGCAACAAAACTCCACTCAAAGCTGGGATGTTTCCTCCAAGCATTCAGAAATCACATCAGAAGGGTCAAGCTTTTTGAAATAAAATAAAATATGATCCTCAAATATCATTCCCCCCCTTCATTCCTGTTCCAAATGGCCTTTGTGGGTTCAAACTTGGTGTGGCAACCAGTAAAGCACAATTCTGAGGAAGAAAGGGAAATCTGGGTGGGTTTGCAGTCAGTTAGAAAGTGATCTATTCACTACTGCAGAAAACGAGTGGGAATATCATGTTAGAATATTTGTCACAGGGAAGGATTTCTTCTGAAGACCTGCAACAACTTGGTCCCACAGAAATAAAAAATCCACCAGGTGTTTTTGCGGAAATATTTGTTGTCAGCGAAAATCCCACTCAGCACCAAATTCTGCGAAGCTGAAGCCAGAGCTGCAGCATCTCCTGGGTTTATGGGGAGAAGGGAAGAGGCAGGAAGGCTCTGGAGAACTTTTATGGCTTTCTGGGGCTGCCTGGAGGATCCCAGACATTCCTGCACCTTTTATTACCCAGTGCCTGCAGGAGCTGTGGGTTTGCTTTGCATTGGGCGAGTTCCCAGCAGGGAAATTGGTTTGTTTTCTGTTTATGTTCATGATGGGTTTATCCTGGCCGCGGATGAAACCCACAACCCGCGAGGCCGCTTTCATCTCCCTGCTTTGCATCCATTAAATATTCCCGACTCCATCGCGCCAACTCCACCTTCCAAAGTGGGGATGAGTCAAAATCCCATTTGTTTAGGACTTCTGGCATTTTGGGCACACACCTGGGAGCAGCCCCTGGTGTGGCAGCGAGTTTTAATTGGAGTCCTGAGTGTGCAAGTCCAGCCGTGATAAGTGCCCAGGAGATTTCAGATCGCTGCTCCTTGTAATCTTCCCATGAGCAATATCCCAAAGCTTTCGGCTCCTGGGAGGAGGAGATGGAACCAGCCAGACAAGCTGGACTTAGGATCACCTTCAGAAGTGGGATTTGGGCTCTTTTTATCTTCTCTGTAGCTTTGGATGAGTTGGTTTTCAGACCACAAGCTGCTCTTGGAGTTGATAGGTAATTCTTGTTGTAAAGGAAAGTCAGGGAATCATGGATTGGTTTGGGTGGGAAGGGGCCTTAAAAATCATCTAAACCATGGGCAGGGACACCTTCCACTATCGCAGGGTGCTCCAAGCCCTGTCCAACCCGGACCTGGACACTTCCAGGGATGGGGCAGCCACAGCTTCTCTGGACAACCAATTTCTTAACATTTCTGTGCGTGCAGCGAGAACTTTGGGAAGGTCTGGTCAATCTTGAGGGACAGGAGAGCTTCCATCCATCGTGTCATCATTTTGGGTCATCCCAAACTGGGGACGTCCAGTGACACGGCTGGAATTGAGCTGATGCAAATTCTGATTTGTATTTCAAGGACAAGGTGGAAGGATTGGAGCTGGTGGGGAAGTTTGTTGGATCCATCAGGAATCTTGGCCACCCCTTTGAACCCCTGGTCATGTTCAAAGACTCTGTCCCTGCCCATTTGCTGATCATCCCACATTTGCATGTCTGAGTGGTCCAGGAAAATATTTTGGGAACTTTGAAGATTTCTGCTCTTCAGAAGTCTCCAACCAGCGTTTATTTCCCAGGAGATGTTGGGGAAGATACTCCCAGTTCGGGGCTGATTTGCTTGTCTCTGCCTCGGAGATTAAACACCACGAGAGGCTGGGATGCTCGGCCCTGCCCTCCAGTCTGCTCCTGCATTGTCTGCAATTACTTTTTAATCTGGAAATTGCCTTTGAAAAGGAACTGGAATTGCTGCACGCTGAGGTGATCTTTGAGACGTGCTTTCAAAGAGGGAAAAAAGGAACAGGAACATTACAAACATCTCTGAATAACTGCTATTAATTTGGGGAACAATTTTGCATAATGGTGCAAAGCCCAGCAGGGGAAAGTAATAATTTAGTGGCAGATGTAAAAGGGTTTGGCGTCTTTGATGACCCCAAAGATGAGCTTGGGCAAGGCTTTGAGCAGCCCCAAATTCCCAGGCATCCTCCAGCTGACCTCAGTCGCTGTCCTGGTTTGATGTAGGGAGAAAACCCAGCCTGGAGACTCCTGAGATGAAGGACTTGGACACTCGGTTTCCAAACTGTGTCTCAGGTTCCATCATGGGAATATGGTGGTTTAATAATAAAGGAATAGGTCAGGTGCTGATCCTCTTTCATGCTCCCTGCTGAGTCAAGAAAATAAAATCTGTTCCCTCAAATAATCCATTTCCCAGTACCTTGGAGAGTGGTGGAGTTTACTCACCTCTAAATGCTTTCTAACAATTTTATTTCATTGATTTTTGTGTCTCTCTCTCTCTGTTTGAGAGGAATTTGGTGAAATTCTGAGGCAGAAATAGGAATTTCTGCCCTTTTCAGAGCGAGGTATGCCAAAAACTTGTGCCCTTCGTGCTGGGGGAAAGGGATGTCACAGGGAAGGTCATTGCACCTTCATCTGTGTCATGGTTCCTTAGGGTGCAAAATAATCTCCTGAGTAACCCAGATGAATCAGCCTCTGATCAGGGCTCGCAAGATTTGAGGATAAAAGAAACCTCTCCGGAGGAATGCATACATTACAGGGAGGAAATGAAATCCAGGCAAGAAACACAAACAGAGAGGAAAAGTAAATCCCCAGCCAGGGGTATTTTGCATATGAGGAATCGTTAGCAGTTGGCTGCTAATGAGCTACAAGCACAATTTGTGTGCGAGGTCCTCGGGCTCTCTGGGCCAGGGTATAAAACCAGCGCGGTCGGAGGAGCTACAACCATTCCTGCTTTCCGCTCCTTGGAGAAAAGGGTAAGTCTCGATCTGCTTCCCATTTTCCTGGATTGTTGCTGTCGTTGTGTTTTATTTTTCTGCTGTTTGTCTGTAGCAACCCGAGGTTTGCGCTCTTTAAAAATTGCTGGGGAGACCTCGAAGCAGTTTTTTCTCCAGGGAGGGACATTCTGTGGAGGGTGGAGGTCGTTCCTGTGCTGACCCCGGATTTTTTCATTTGTGTCACCCAAATCTTTCCGTTCCTAGAAGTCCCAAGCTCTGCCTGAGCAGTGCTCAGCAGCTGGGAGTGGATGTGGGGAATCTGTGCAGAGCTTTTGGCTCTCGGGTTAGCACCACAGAATATTCGGGGTTGGAAGGGACCTTTGGAGATCTCACGGGGCAGGCGACACAGGAGAGCCTCCAAGCGGGATTGGAACGACTCTGGAGAGGGAGACTCCTGGGCACGAGGGTCTGAATGTCTCCAGAGGGAGATTCCCTGAACTCCCTTGCTCTGAGCCACCGGTGCTAAAGCCTCACCACCCTCGCGGTGAAACTTCTGCTCCTCATTTTTACTTGCTGAGGAAGTTTTTGTTTCTCCCTCTTTTTTTTCGGGCACAGTTTTTCCTTGCTTTTCTGCCTGGTGCCTCACCTCCCTGCTTAATTCAGGGCTGCAGGAGGAGTGTGGTGGGAAAGGAGCGCTCAGAGCCGCTCAGGAGGAGGTGGAGCTGCCCTTGGTGGTGCGGAGAGCTCCGAGTTTCACTGAAATCTCCTTTCAAGCCGAGACCAACCCTTCATTCCATTCCCCTCGCAGTCCCTGCGCTCTCCATCACCATTACAGCTTAATTACGCGACTAATTACACCTCGCTCCTTGTTTTCCAGAATTCCCTGCGTTCCACACTCACACCCCACAGCCATGTCCTGCTACGACCTCTGCGCCCCCACGTCCTGCGGCCCCACGCCGCTGGCCAACAGCTGCAACGAGCCCTGCGTCCGGCAGTGCCAGGACTCCACCTACGTGATCCAACCTTCTCCTGTGGTGGTCACCCTGCCCGGGCCCATCCTCAGCTCCTTCCCCCAGAACACCGCCGTGGGATCCTCGGCCTCCGCGGCCGTCGGGGATGCTCTGAGCGCCGGCGGCGTCCCCATCTCCTCGGGCAGCGCCTCGGGGCTCGGCAGTTTGGGGTACTCCGCTTTGGGGGGGCTCTATGGAAGGTCCTACCGGCGCTCCAACCGCTGCGGGCCCTGAGGGAGCCCCGGGACGGCCGGGAAGGGATGAGCAGGAGATGGAAAGCGCGATCGGATGCAGGACTGGGCCCGTGCCCACCCGCTTGCTGACCCCCGCAGCTTTGCCCCGAGCTCCGGGGCTGCAGGAGCTTGGCCTTTCCCGTGTGGTGCCTTCCTGTGGTATCAGGGAGGTGAAAAATGTCACTCGATTGTCGCTGGGTGTCCAGCTGTAAAGCACTGCCTGGAAATGGGTGATGAATTTTAATCGGTATTCAACCCTTCTGCTTTCCTATGCTGTATTTTTTTTTTTTTAATTCCACTTCTTGCTCATTAAATAGATGGTGCATCACAATTTGTGGTTTGCAATGTTCCTTCTCTGTCTTCCTCTTTGGAGCCTCCTCTGGCAGAAATTTGCCTGTACATAAGTTGTGAGTACCAAGCCGATCTGCATTTCAGTTATACCATGGTAATCACTGAGGAGTTAGAGAAATATAAACAATGAATAATAGCTTTTCCCCCTTTTTTTTTCTTTTTTTTTTTTTTTGTTGGTTTTTTTTTTTTTTTTTTGGGAATATTCTCCCTTTTCCTAATTTCTGGAAGAACAATATGAAATAATCACTCCTGGCTAGCAACAAATGGGGGGAAAAAGGTGGGAAAGCTAAAGCAGCTTTGTGGACAAAACTTCTTTTAATTTATTCTCAATATTCCTTTTAAACCTCCTCTCCATAAATTCGAGCTCATTCCCCCTGGTCCTGGCTCTCCAGGCCTTTGGAAATAATTTCTCCCCATATTTCTTGTCAGCTTCTGGAGACTCTGGAAGGTGAAATCATATCACCCCGAAGCTTCTCTTCCTTAGGCTGAACAAACCCAGGCAGAACGTCCAAAACACACAAAAAAAAAAACCCCAAAAAAACCCAAAAAGAACAAAAAAAAACCACCCAAAAAACAAAAACAACCAAAAAACCACAAAGCTCAGGTCTCGTCCTTCCCTTCTTCTCCTGCTAGCTTAGAAACGCTGCAATTACGTCTTAATTGCTTGCTAAACGATGTGGTGATTGAGGGGCCTTCCGGCTGTCACCAGAATTCCTCAGAGCAGGAACAATTACTCAGAGCCTCGGGGAAGTAAATGATGGGCAAATTGCAAAACAAACATTCCCCAACGTCCTGTTAAGTACCCCAATTAAACTCCCATTCCACGTTTTAAAGATCCTTTGATAGGGAACCCCGAGCAAGCTGGCGAGTTCTGCTCCCGGAGGAAAAAAATAAAGGACAAATGAAAACCAGAGCGGCTTTTGTGCAACACCAACAGGGGTTTAATGTCAGAGAGAAGAACAACAGCCGAGGGCAGGGAACCCAGGCGATCCCAGGGACAGCAGGGGATGCAGGACTCGTATTCCGGGAGCAGGGCCTTGCTCAGGAGCGGGATAAGCCAGGGATGGAGGGGCCGGGCACAGAGAGGGGATGGAGGGCTCAGGGAATCCCGAGGGGATGGAGGGCTCAGGGAATTCCGAGGGGATGGAGGGCTCAGGGAATTCCGAGGGGATGGAGGACTCAGGGAATTCCGAGGGGATGGGAGATGCGGGCACAGAGAGGGGATGGAGGGCTCAGGGCACACCCGGGGCGGCTGGGCACACTCAGCTGCCCCTGCCAGCGGATCCTGCCCGATGTCCCCACAGCCTGGGCTGGGCTCCAGGACTGGCACTGCCGCTGGGGGCTGGCACTGCCAGGGTGGCTTTAGAAAAACCCACAGCTCCCGCGGCGGGATCTGCCCCATCTCTGGGAGCCAGGCAGGGAATAGCCCAGGCCCCGCGAGGAGAAGCCAGAGCTGCAGGACCTCCCGCAATTGCCAAAGGAGCCCCCATAGCCCCCGAAGGAGCCCCCATAGCCAATGTCACCTCCATAACCCAGGGAACCCCCATATCCAAGGGAGCCCCCATAGCCCTGGGAGCCCCCATAGCCCCCACAGCTCCCCAGGCCAAAGGAGCCCCCATAGCCCTGGGAGCCCCCATAGCCCCCATAACCTCCCAACCCAAAGGAGCCCCTATAACCACGGGAGCCCCCCAACCCAAAGGAGCCCCAATTGCCCTGGGAGCCCCCATAACCTCCTGAGCCAAAGGAGCCCCCATAGCCAGAGGAGCCCCCCAAGGCCAGGGAGCCCCCAGAAGCCCCAGAACCTCCCAGCCCAAAGGAGCCCCCGTAGCCCTGGGAGCTGCGGGAGCTGAAGGAGCGCCCCAGCCAGGCTGGGCCCGACGATCCCACAACGCTCTCCTGAGGGAAGGTGCTGAGCACGGGGCCCGGGATGGTCACCACCACCGGCGGGGGCAGGATCACAGCTCTGGAGTCGGCGCACTGCTGCACACACGGCTCGTTGGAGCTCTCCGCGATGGGCTGGGGGCAGCTCACGCCGCACGACTCGCCGGAGTAGGACATCCTTCTGTGCTGCGAGGCTGCAACGCACAGCAGAGAGGACTTAAAAGCTAAACTGGCCGAGATGCATCAAAATCAAACTCTGTGGCTGAAATAGTAGAGAGGAACAGGTGAATTCAATGATGATATGAAAGAAATCTCATTATTGTATCATCTCCACCTTCAGCCTTCCTCTCACCATGATCATCTTTGCAAGAGAAATTCTGTGCTGGATAAATTAATCAAACTTGTAGCAACCTGTGGCAAAGATTCAGTCAAAGGTGTAAGACCAGTGAAAAAGAAACGAAGAGGAAGAGGAAAAAAGTCTCATTGACTTCATGCAGTAAATCAGATTTTCTGGAGATGCATGGCACCACTTACCTTATTCGCTGCAGGGATGGGAACAGGAGCAGTGGATGAAGGGCTGTGGGTGACCTGAGCTTTTATATCCTCCTCAAAGCCACCCTCTGAGCCTCCCATCCTCGTTTATTACAAAACCAACCCACAGTGGGTGCTTCCGTTCTGTCACCTCAGCACTCCCAGACTCATGTGGCTATGACACAATCGCTGATGGCAATCAGCTCCCTCTGAGGGCGATCCAAGGGGATTTGGGGAATTTGGGGCTGAAGGGTGGTCATGGAGCCATCAATTAAAGCCAGCTCTGGTTCACTCCAATTTTATTGTCCTTTTAAATTGGGACATTTTAATGGCCACGGTAACTCTTCCATGGTGTGGAGCCCTTTGTGGTGCCACCTTCACCCGGTGAAGGTCGCCCAACTGGACCTAAAACTGTGGCTGTGAGAGGACATGAATTCTCCTTGTAGCTGAGTAGGGATCTACAAAAGTTATCTCCAAAGAGGCAGAAATTGGTACAGCCAGAAGAAGTCTTAGCTTAAAGCTAATTCCAAATATTTCACGATTTCATTTGAAATCTCAACTTCTAGAAGTTCAGTTTGAAATACATTAAAAAATCTAAATTTTCTTCCCCCCCGAAGTACTGACTACTACAGAAAAAAGAGAGGATTTATTAAAGTAGTAATAGAATAAAAATATAATTTATTAGGATGAGTCTGGGACATCCTGCAGTTATTTCTTTTCTTTCCTCTCGCAATTGTTCTCTAATTTTACAATGTTGCAAAAGAGAGGCAATAAATTACCTCTAAATTGTAAAATAGCTCTGCTTGTGAAGTGTCATCAGGATTTGCTGATAATAATGAGAGGTATCTGGAGGATAATGACTTTAAGCTGCCTCACAAATACTCATTAATAGTCAGTGCTTGCAATTTCTGTTATTATCCTATTAAATGGGGGCTGGGAGTTATGAGGATTTATTCTGAGTTAGGAGCTCCCTTGTTATGAAACAGCGTAATTTAAAATACGACAATCAATGTCACTCCTCTTGATTCCCTAATTAACCTCTGATTGATAATTTCAGTGCTGGCAATGATTTAATTTTCATTCATAAGCTCAAATTCTTCATTTTATTAACTATTAATGTGTTTGGGATGATTACAACAAGTACCTCATGTACCATATCAAGTGCAGCTTCTTCTTAATTTATGAGGCAGCATTTTGCTGAAATATCTTAAATTTCAGGGGAGAAATTAAAGCCTGATTGCAAATCATCTGAATTTTCAGGCTTAACCATCAATGTTCTGCAAAAAAGTGGTCTCAGACTGATTTTCTAAATTCTCTGCTCTTGGAGTCTCACCTGTAAATATTTTGTCCATGAAATTGTTCCTCATGACACAGAGGCCTCAGTTCACACGTCTCTGAACTGACGCTCCTGCCCCAGTTTTGGGTGCTGACGTTTCTGTGTTCGAGTCTAACACCAAATATTAATTTCCTGTGGGCGTTCACGAAGCCCCTCATGGTCCTGGAAGGATCTGGAACATCCCCCAGGTGTCACTGCCTCCGTGATATTCCAAAACCAGCAGGGCAGGAGCAATGGAGCCCACCTTGGGATTGTTGAGTAATTAATGGCATTTGAGGTGCAAACACAGCTCTTAAAACCCCTCACATTTCTGAAGCATTTGGAGATAATTGATATTTTCTTAATTTTTGATACCTGTCTCCCTCTTTTTGTGCAGCTCCCGTGGATTTTCATGGGATTCACTTAAATTTTAAAAGACGAAGGTTATTAATCTGAGCTCATCAAACCCAAAGACAACACTCGTGATGGGGATTATTATCTCATCATTCACCAGCTCGATGCCCTCAAGTCTGTCCTGACATGGCCTCACGCCTGTTTTTGCGCGTGGGGAGTGGCAGTGCAAAGCCAGCAGAATTAAATCCCTCCATGTGAGGGTTGTTTTGTGTGGGACCGGAGGCACGGAGGGCGTTTTGTCCTTGTAAGCACTTTGGGAAATGTATAAAAGCTGCCACCACTCCAAGCCTCTCCATCCACATCTCCTGAGTTATTCACCTTGGTGAACAGGGTAAGTCTGATTTGAGCTCCTCTCTCCTTCTCTATCCTTCTTTTCCCCCATCCAATTCTTTGATGTTATGGATTGGCAGATTGAAAAGCTCTGGGTCTCAGAAGTTTGTTGTATAATAAAATGTGAATTTTCAACGTGCCACTTGGAATAACCATTTCCAGGCATTTTAGGTACAATGAGTAAAATTTAAAAATATCTGAATGATCATTCCCACCTTGTGGGAATATAAGGGTGAATTTTCTAGTTTGAAAGCTGAGGGCTACTTGGGAAAGGATATGAAACTACAAAAATTGCTGCTTTGTATTGGACACTTCTTAACTTCCTACAGATACATTGCTAGATTTCAGTCGGTCTTTATAAATAATAAAGAGATAAAATGAGATTTGTCACAGAGTAAGAAGTGTCACCAGAGATTACACCAGATGTTTTCATCTGAGTGTGACATCTCAGGGACCGTGACAGCAACCAGAGTCTAGAATGTGATTTTTGTGGTCACATGAGGGCCAGATTTGGAAAGTAATGAACTCTGGACTCACATTTTCCATGGCAAAGCACAGGCAGAGTCAGGTGGAAATTTCTGGATCTGAAACCTTTCTCCTGCTGTGCGTTGCAGCCTCGCAGCACAGAAGGATGTCCTACTCCGGCGAGTCGTGCGGCGTGAGC